AAATAATCTTATTAATTAAAAAACTTGCCCTATTCCCTTTTAAGTAAGAAAAGATCAATTGATAAAGTGCATTATTTCTTAACAAATATTTTTTTAAATACACGTGAATATTGTCTGTACATTTTTGTATACTAGTACATTTAAAAACATTTTTTACCATTTAAAATCCTTCATTTAATAAATAAATTTTATTTATAAAAAATAATTTAGAATTTTTTAATTTTAGTAAATTTAAACAAAAATAAATGTTTATTCAATTTATTTTTTTATTAATTTTTAATTTTTCTTTTTCAACTATTCAACCATTAAATAATCAAAATTTTATTATTAGAAGAAATAGTAAATATTTTAATTTAAAAAATATTTATATTAACGAAAACAATAATCAAAAATTATTAAAAATTTCAATTGAATTTAATTCAATAATTTTAAATAAATACAAACAAATTTATATAAACCCAGAAAATGAAGATTGCGTGAAAAATGAAAATACAAAAATTTATTTTTTATATGGCAGGATAAATAATGGCGATGAAATAATTAAATTTCAATTTATTCAAAATTTAAATAATAATTACAGAAGGGGAATTCTAATTTGTATTAGTAAACCTGAAAAAAATTTGCCAAATTATGGAATTGTTTGTTTGTTTTTATAAAAATATGCCTGTTTTAAATAAATAAATATTTTATATTTAATTTAAATGCTTTTACAAATTGTAATAAGTTTATTTTAAACTTATTACAATTTTATTTAAATTTGTAAAAGTTTTGGAAGGTTTATTTTATTTACCGTAAATGCTCGAATAATTACCTTCTTTAATAATTACCCCCTCCATTTCCTTCTCTAATTTAAAAAAAATTGAAAAAATCATTGTCAATTTTAATTATTGAAACATTATAAGAATCATTATCAAAAAATAAATGGATTTCCTCCTCGATTTATTGAGATATACCCCAAATTCAGCACATCCTCTCGATTAATTACACCCTCCAGGGAGAGGTCGAAACAATAATTACCCAGGGTAATTATTCGAGCATATACGGTAATTAATTAATTTCTTTAGCAAGTGTTGGCAATTGAACCTTTATTTCGTCATTCTGTATATTTTGAACCAAAAAAAGAAATTGAAAATGATGATACGGAAAACACAAAATTAACTAAAATAAAAATGTTTTTAAATAATGAAAAAGAAAATTTTATTAAAATTTGTATAAAATTTAAAGAAGAAGGAAATTATTTAATTAAATTAAAATCTTTATATAATAATAAATATTTTATATTTTTTGTTAAAGTTTTGGAAAATAAAAATGAAAAATGTATTTCAAAAATATTTGAAAATTTGACGACAGAAGAAATTAAAATATTAAATTTATTTAGACATGGAATTGAAATTCATGCTTCAAAAACTCCGAAGAATTTTAATGAGGAAGAACTCTTTCTTAAAGGGAGACTTTCCTATGTAGAGGAAATAAATTTTGTTAAAGCACTTTGCTTTAAATCAACATTAGCCCCTTTAATTCATAATGGAAATTATTTTTTTGAATTAAATAGTGAAGGGAATATTTTGGAGAAAATAAAAGAAACAAAAAATAATTTAATAAATAATTTAAAATTGAGAGAAATTAAGAAAATTTGTAAAAATAAATTTGAAGAATTAATTAAAGAAAAGCAGCAATGGTTGTTTTTATTTAATTATGCTGAATATTATAAAATGAATGATTGTTTAATTGCTGAGAAATTGGTTGAAGAAAATTAAATGTTTTTGAAAGATGATACATATGTATGTAGTAGAGTTTTACAAAAAACTTTTCTATTTTTATTTTTAAGATTTTTCTAATTTACAAATTGTAATCTTTCTTCCTTTTCTTTAAATTGCTTTTAACTCTTTTTAAATCAAATTTGAAGTTCTTAAAAGTTTTCTAAATGGAATTTTTTTGTTAAATGAGATAAAGGGTATTTGAAGCAACTTTTTGTTATAATTTTTGTGTATACTAAAACTTGGTGGAAATATTTTTTAAAATATGTACCTTAACCCATTTCCTGTTGATTTTTAAGAGGTGTTTAGATGCTTTAGTTTTTAAACTCAGTATTTATGGATATATTCACGGATATTTTTGTAAAAATCAAAATTCAATTCAGATGGAGTTATAATTTCTTAACACCCATTTAAAAGCCCGATAAAAACTGATTATGTAAAATATTTTTCATGATTTTATTGATATATGTAATGCCCAATAATGTTTATAAATCTCTTATAAAAATTTCAGATTAATTTGACGATCGAAAGCTAGAAAACCAGAAAAAACTAGGTAGAGTCATACATTTTGCCTTAAAGGAATTAAAATTATTAAATTATTTAAATATTGAGAATCTTCCAAATCAACTTTAAAATTAAATTTTTCTTTTTACCTAAAATTATATTAATTTAATATAGGATTTTCGAAATATAGATTCATATTTATAATACTTATAAATGGAATTTTGGAGGATTATATCTAAAACAATATAATATATACATACCTCTCAAGTGTCTGGCAAAACTAAACACCCTTTCCTTTTCCAAAAAACTAAAAGCGAGAAAAAGAAGCGATTAGTCGTTTAGTATTTAGATTTGTTTATTCATTTTCTGGCCATTTTTCTAAAATAATTTGTTGATGGAGAAAAAAAAGTTTTGTTATATCGTATATAAATTATAAAGAAAGGCAAGAGTTATTCATTCCGTCCATTCTCAAAAATTTAATCTTTATCTCTTTTCCTCTCAACTTCCTCCTAAAAATCACCAAAAAAATAAATTTTTAAACACTTACATCAAATGATAAATTTTAATAAAAAGACTAGTCCACCAGGAAAATTATTAACAGAAAGACAAATAGAGAAGTCTGCGGATATAAATTTTGAGAACAAAATTCCTCCTGAGGATACCTATATTGAATTAATTGGTGAGGCTATAGAAAAACAGGTAAATTATTTAAAGTATATTTTAATTTAAAATAATATTCATAGGATTCCAAATGCGCAACGTTGCATGAAATTGTAAGTTCTCCAACTTTTTAATATATGAGTATTATTTAATTTATTTTTATTTAAATTTTATAAATAAAATTATGGGGGAAATGGGTAAGTACTAGAGATCGGCCTGGGTCCGGACAAAGGCCTGGGTTTTTCCTGGACTACAGGCCCAGGTCAATAAACCAGGAACAGGCCCAGGCTTTTCAAAAATACAGTTGCTCTAAAATAAAAAACCGACAGATTCGTTAAACTAAAATAATATTGAGAGCTGATTGTAAAAATTTTATATTTTTATTTTCATAAAAAAATTTTAAGTACGAATATTTGTATCAAAAAGATGCATTTTTTCGTGGTGAATATGTTGGTTGGAAGAATTCTGTTTGTTATACTTTATCTGTGGGCGGAAATTTCAAAAAATTACATAAAGAGATTGGAAGAGGCATTCTCTTAATGTTAATCAAAATATTTTAAAAATTTAAAGGTCATTTATGGACATATGGTCCAAATTTTAAATCTACTATTGAAAAAATGGAGAAAAGCATATCAGAACGTACAACCTGAATTAAATAAAGAATTACAAGATTAAGATCAAAATTAATAATAATAATTCTGTTGATTATTTAATTAAAATTTATTTTTTAATTTATTTTGTGAAGTATAACTAAAAATAAAAAAATGTTTAACTTAAAAATTGTTACAAGGCACAGTCTTTAATTATTTATTTGTTTTATGAATATTTTTTTGATTTTTCTCGTTAAAATTTTGAAAATTTTGAAAACTTTTCTTTTCGCTCCTCTTCTTCTCAAATTACTCGATTAAAATAATTTTTCTTCTTTCTTTTGATTAACCCGCTCATTTCTAATTAAAAAAGTATGTAAAAAACATTTATTTAAAAAGTTTTTATCCTCCAGTCTAGCCAATTTTTAAATAAATTGTCTAAATAAATTATTTTTCCCCAATTTTTTGATGGACTTTTTAATAAAAAAAACAGAATTGCCGCTAAATATTACAACAAACATTTTGGGAAGAATTGAATTAAATTTATTGTGTTTTTAGATTTATTACTTATTTATTTTCGCAACTTTTTATTTTAAAAAGAAGTTTAATAAAATTAGTTTTGAGAGAAAAAAGGAAATGTGTTTGATGGTTTTGTTTTGTTGGTGTAAACAAAAATGGAATGGGTACTAAAATGTTTTTAGAAAATAATTTTAAATTATTTTCAAAGTTCAAGGATGTGGAAAAAATTAACAAAATGGTGTAATTGTTCTAATCCTTTATGGAAATACTTCCTTCCCTTTTAAAATGTTTCCATTTAAATATAAAATGTTCCCATTTAAATTTCAATCATTTATTAAAATAAATAAAACATGTCATTGCTGTATCCGTGAATGCTGCAGCCATCATGTTTTGATAGCTGATAATAAAACAATTACAACAATTTCTACAATTTATTAACAAAAATATTGGGACATTCAAATAAATTTTAAATAAAAATCACAGACTTTTTTTAAAATATTTATTACTGAATTAATTATTTAATTGATCTTTTATTTTAAGGTTAAAAATATTTTAATAAAAATTTAGAAAAATTTACATAGATTGTTTCATTGCCTATTTTTTGTTATTAATCAAAATATTTTTTATAAATTTTAAAATATATAAATCATCATAAAATATTGTGTAGAGATGCTGCCAACAAATTAATATCAGAACGAAGCTAAATTTAATTAATTAGGGGCATCTAACCTTTTAAGAATTATCTGTTATCTTATTTCATTGTTCTTAATTAATTACCCTCTTTTTTCTCTAAATTTCTATTTAAACTTTCGATGTTCTATTTACAAGTTTTATTCTATCCCTAACACTTGAATATCGTAAAAACTGATAAAACGTTAATAATTGCCGATAAACACGAATCGCCGATAAACACAAATCTAAGCCCCGTTAATTTCACCCGCTAAGTTAAGTCAAGTATTTCCTTTTCTCGACTCTATTCAGAAAGAAAACCTACAGAATTAACAGCTAGCATCAAGGATCGTTTATTGTTTAAAACTTCAACACTTTCTGTATATGGATTATAACGAACTACAAAAGGTCTATTCATATTTGATGTAAATGTTCTAAAATTTAAAATATTAAAAGAAATTTCCACACTTTTAATAACCGTAATTTTTGTTGGGCTTCTTCAAAATCATTTGTAAAGAAATAAGCACTTTGGAATGTACTTATAAGACATTCTTGCTAAAAATAAAAGTATGCATAATATGTATATTTTTTTAAATTTTTGCCTGAACAACACGATCGGGATCGAAACGGATAATTTGGGAATTTCCTTCTACTGCGTGCTAAATAAAAATATATGTAATTTTACTTAATTTTTTTAAAGAATACTTTTAGTTACATTTTTATTTTCTAACACAAATTAATTTTTTTATATTTCTCTTATAATTTCAATTTCTTGTAAGGTTGGTGGATCCGATCCGAAGAAAGGCCGAATATCCGGAAATTTTCGGTTCGGATCCGGATATCCGAAGATTTCCGACTATCGCCAACCTTACTCCCTTGATTAAAAAAGTTGAACGGTTTCTACTATATTAAGCTATTTAAGCTCCTAATCCTTTATACTTTTAAAATTATAAATAAATACCTGTAATTCCCCAGCACTTGAAAGTAATCCTTTAAATATTTTTTAAAAAATTTTAGAAAACATAAAACATCTATTTAATTACCTGCCCCATAAACTTTATATTTAATTTTATTTTCTTCATTTGAATTATTACAATTTATTTTATCTTTAGATGAATGTGAACGATCAGAACAAAGTCCAAATTCAATTGAGAAAAAATAAAGCTAAAAATATATAAAAATTTAATTAAATAATTTATTTAAAAAATAGCTGACAGTCGCTAATTTACTTAAATCTTCTTCTGAAGCCCCCAATGAAGCCTAAAAAATAAATTTCTTTTAAAATATTTTTAAAAAACCAATCCAATTTCTTGTGAAAATTGTGCAAAATCTTTAAAAAATAAATAGTTTAAAAATAAATCCTTTTTAAAAACCAGGATCAGCAAAAAGAGCCATATGCCCCATTAATTCATGAACTGTGTCTGGTTCTGATTTTTAAATGAAAAAAGGGAAAATATATTTTTTTCTGAAACATTTTTGTATGATTCCATTATTATAAATTGTTTTTAAATTAAAATTTTTAATTTTTTTCTGCTAATTTTCAAATTTATTTTTTTATTTAAATAAAACCGGGTGTATAATAAGGATCAGCATGATGACGAATATATTGGGTACAATTAAAGACACGAACTAATGAAATAATAATTAATTTAAATAATAATATTAAAGAAATATTTACAAGCCAATCCAGCCAAAAAATCACTAAAAAATAAATATAAATTTATTTTTTAAAATTAATTTTAAATAACCGAGCACTTAAATAACCAGCTACTGGACGTACACGAAAACCAGTTTTTGCTGTGAAAAAAATATTTTTAAATTTTTTAAAAAATATTTTTACCTTTTAAAAAATTACTAACATCTTCTAATTGGGGAATATTATTTTCAGAATAACCACAATAACGTTCTAATAAAACAAAATTGTCTAAAAATTCTTGACATGCACTAAAGGAAAATTTAATTTATTTTTTTTCAAAATTGATATTAATAATTAATAGTGTTAATTTTTTCTTTTTGATTATTTAATATAGTAGCCATTTTCTCCCCTTCTACACTCTGTTAACTAATTATACGCACCCCCTATTTTTTGGGGTTTTCAAACTGAAATTGGAATTTGGTTTTCTAGTTTTTTGTATATTATAGCTTCAAGTTAAAAGCCATCTATTACCACAAAAATTTTAAATTTAAAAATTTCCTTTCAGACTTATGGACATTTTTTTCAATTATTGGTGTTAACTAATTATACGCACCCCCTCTAAAATTTTTATTTTTCAATCGAAAAATCCAAAAAAATTTATCTGAACATATCTATCAATTTAGATAGGATATACAAAAGAAACGAAGTTCTAATTCGATTCCTTCATCGAGATCTCGAAACTCGAAAATCAACGGAAAACCAGGGTAAATGTCTTTAAAAAATATTTTCGACCCCTTATAGGCTGTATTAAATCTTAATTTTAGACTTTTCTGAAAGCCCTTTAAATTTACTATAAAACCACCAATTTTCATTTTTCAAAAAATTTTTTTTTCATTGAGTTGTACAGGATTGAATCTCAAATTTGTAAAAAAGCTTGTTTTAAGAGTAAATTTCATGATTATTATATCAACTCTGAATAACTCCCATGTAAAATTTTTTTCATTTAATAATATTAGAGGTTTCTTATACATAGTAAATTTAAAGGGCTTTCAGAAAAGTCTAAATTTAAGATTTAATACAGCCTATAAGGGGTCGAAAATATTTTTTAAAGACATTTACCCTGGTTTTCCGTTGATTTTCGAGTTTCGAGATCTCGATGAAGGAATCGAATTAGAACTTCGTTTCTTTTGTATATCCTATCTAAATTGATAGATATGTTCAGATAAATTTTTTTGGATTTTTCGATTGAAAAATAAAAATTTTAGAGGGGGGTGCGTATAATTAGTTAACACCAATAATTGAAAAAAATGTCCATAAGTCTGAAAGGAAATTTTTAAATTTAAAATTTTTGTGGTAATAGATGGCTTTTAACTTGAAGCTATAATATACAAAAAACTAGAAAACCAAATTCCAATTTCAGTTTGAAAACCCCAAAAAATAGGGGGTGCGTATAATTAGTTAACAGAGTGTACTAAAATCAAAGTAATTATAAATGCATAGCAAAATTAATTTCATAAAAACAAAAATCCAGAGTTGGGTACTCATTAAAATATTTAATTACTTCCCTTCCCACTTTTTTTTTAATTTAATTTTTTTCTAGATTTTTTACATTTTCCATAATTAATTTTTAAATAATAATTTTTTACTATTTTTCATGCAATTCTCTTAATTTGCGATAAACAGTTTTCCTATAAATTTAAATTAAAAAATAAATAATTTAAAAATTAATTTGAAATATACCAAGTTCTTTTCTCTGTTTCAGTAAATTCAATTCGTGGAATAGGTTCTCCCCTTTAAAATAAAATAATTTAAATTAAAATTCTTAATTAAAAAACATTTTATAATTAATTGCAATATCTGCAAACATCATTCTTCTACTTCTATATTCTTTATCTTTAAATCCCTTTAAAGAAAATTTATAAAATAAAAAATTGTTATTTAACCGGATGGTCAGCATCAAGTCCAGCCCCATACATTATAACTCGTTTTGAACAAATATCCAAATCATAAATACTCTTTAAAATTTATTTTTAAAAAGTTAAAAAATATATTTACTTTTGGAAACCAAAGAGCTCCAGAAAGGGCATCTTGAATATAAATTTAAAATAAATTATTAGTTTTTTTGGAAACTATTGAAAAGAAATTTTTTTAGAAATTCTGTTTAAAATAATTTTTGTTTTTGAAGCAAAAATAGTTTAAGCAAGCATTGTATTAAATAAAAATAACTTTGATCAGAAATTTCATTTTATAAATTTCAAAACAAAATAAAGGCATACCAGCAGACCCAGGATCAGAGGGCTCTAAAGCTCCACGAGGAGCAACAGTTCTGCTAATTTCTCTAACATTAAATCCAGCCTTTTGGATAGAAGAAAACATTTCATCTGTTTTTGTAGTTAAATCCAATTCTAATTCAAGTAAAACTTCTAATTCGTTTTTCTCTCCATCTTTTGGATCGCGAGATTCAAAATGTCTAACGATTGTGCCTTTCTACAAAAATTATTTATTCTACCTCTGTATATCTTTTAGATATCCAAAATTATCTCAAATCTCTCCTGGATGAGTAAAATTCACCAAAATAAGCTTTTAAGTGGAAATTTTACGGGTTGGAAATTTTAAACATGTTTCAGCAAAAATTTCAACTGTCCAAAATATATTAAATCTAAAATCGAGATAGTAATATTACAATCGTCCCTCTAAACTCCAAGATAATTTGAATACCTAAGTGACAATTTTTCATGTCCCCGTATGCCGCTATATAATACATATAACTATTTAATTATCAATTAATATTTTTTTATTAAAGTCTTTACAGGTATTGCAGTCATCATATTTATTAAACTTTGAGTTCCTTTTTGTGATCGAACAACAATTGTTAATAATCTAGACCCTTCCTCCTTAACATTACCAATATTTTCATCTTCTTCAGTTTCTTCTTCAATTGTTAATTCCTTTTAAAATAATTATTAAATTTAAAAAAATAATTATTATTTAACTTTTAATTCATTTCCATCATCACCTTCGGGAAAGAAAGGAATACCTAAACTTCCACTACGACGAAAACGTCTTTTCAACTCTTCTAAACGATGCCCATCACTTTTAATAATTTTTAATGAATATTTATTTAAATAAAAATTAATTTACGGGTTAGAAGATACAGTCCTTCGAATAGGTGTTTTTTGATTATAATAAAGAAATTTCATGCCGGAAGACATTTTAAATTTTTAAAAAGAGAATTTAAGGAAATAATTGTAAATAAAAAATAATTTTTAGAATTTTTACTTGAAACAGAATATTTTAATTTAATTAATTAGGCGAAGGAAATTTATAAATTTACATATGTATTTTATGCGTTTTATTAACGTTTTTTCATCAAAATAAGATTGGGTTTCTTAGTCTGGATTATTCTGTGGAGTAAATCAAGTTTAAGGTCAACCCATTCATTGACCGTAAAATAAGAATTCAGTTGCTGGTTAGGTCCACAAACCGGTGGTTTTTATCGGTAAAATATGACAGTCGTAAGGTTAACCATGACCTTGTGGTTAGGTGACCTGGTTACCTAACCACCAACCGCCAAGACATTTTCAGGTCTCCGATCTCTAATAGTATTTTAATTATTCAGGGAATTGAGAATAAACTTATATCTCTTATATGTACTACAACAGTCCAATCAAATTATTTATATTTATTTATTTTAATCTCAAATTTACTTGGTTGTTAGGAACACTTGGTTGTACTTTTTTAAATTAATAATAACAAATAAATATAAAATTAAAATAACAAGTTTAAAAAACATTTTCTCAAATTTCAAGATTAACCAAAAATAAAAACACCCAATTACACCTTTAAGAATAAAAGCCAAAAAATGCGTGGGCCTTTAAATTGGCAGACAACAAAAAAAATAAAAGATTTATTTGCATTTGCTCGATTTCCCTTTTTTGTTAAGCTAATTAAGCAGAATTTTTAATAAATATGTTCACGCTATAGGGTTATTTGAGGTAAAACAGTGAATAATTGATAAATAAAATTGTTATTTTACGTACTTAAAAAAATATTTAGATGAAGGAAATGCCAAAAAATAATAAAAATAAAAATAATTTAAGAAAATATTTAATTTAAAATTAAATTTTATTTGGAAATTTGTGTGGTAATTCTTAACATTTTCCATTTCTCAAAATGACAAAATAACTGGAAGAGATACTTCAAAACAATAGCAAAAATAATGAGTACTTTTTCTAAAGAAATTTTCTATCAGAGGATTATTATTAATACTATGAAAATTTCACACGGTACGCTGCATCATCTTTAAATAATTCAACAATTGAAAGTTAAAAAAAGAATAAAATATGGAGAGAAATACTAGAAATTAAAAAATATAGAGGGATTTTACTTTTAAATTTTTATAGAGATAAAATTAATTTTTAGTATGTAGGATAAAATATTCTTTAATAAATATTTATAACTTGAAATGGAATTATTTTTTTGTTTAAAATTAAAAAACATCTAAAGTCCGTTCCAAAATAGGTTGACACCCCCTAAATTTTCCGATAAGTCAACTTAGATATGTCCAATTTTTATAATTTTTTTAAATATTGATTCAGCAGCAAAAACTACCCTATTTTACAAAAAATTTTAGATAAGCAAAAATTTTATGAAAAGTTACCATAATAATAATGTAGTTCTTGGCGCTAAAGTTCTTGGCGCTAAAGCAGACATTTCGAATCTTCGCAACAAAAAGGCTTCTTATTTCGATGACAGCAAAAAAGGAGCGTTTGAGTCTCTTGTAAATTGGATTAATTTTTTCTTTTCACGTAAATTTTCTTGATATTTATCAGAGGTTTGTATTGTGATCATTTTGATTTTACTGGGTACACCATTATAAAATCCTGGGATTAATTTTTAATATTTTTATTAATTTTTTATATTTAGTAGATTATTCACAATATTCACAAAAATATCAGCTTGTTATTCTTCTCTATTTTAATGACATTGGAAGAAAAACCAAAAAACGATTTTATTAAAAATGAGAAAATTGACTTAAAAACTTCCAAGTATATTTATTTTTAATTTTTAAAATTTATAAAAAATTTCTAGATTAAATTCAAAAGACAATTTTCAAGAAGTTTGTGGAATTCACAATGTTGGCAATACTTGTTTTATGAATAGGTAATAAATAATTATTTTTAAATAAATTTTTTTTTAATTTTTAGTGCCCTTCAATCATTAGCAAATGTTGAAGCTTTAACCAATTATTTTCTCAATAACGAGCTCACAACTGAAATTAATGAGCAAAATCCTCTTGGCACTCAAGGACGTTTAGTCAAAGCTTATGCTACTTTTTTGCGTTCATTGAGGTCTGGACAGGCTCAGGCTATTAATCCGTTACAATTAAAGGTTTATTTAAATTCATATAATTAATAGAGGGTTTTTTTTGAACTTAAAAAATAATTTTTTTGAAATTCTTTTAATTTTATTGTTATTTTGACGTAAAATATTAAAAAGTTTTGTTTTTCAATTTTTGATTCGAAATTTTTTGTTTTTCCAGCTTGTAATCGGTCAATTCGCTCCTCGTTTTAATGGGTATTCCCAACACGATTCTCAAGAATTGACTGCTTTTTTACTTGATGGAATGCACGAGGATCTTAACAGAATTACTGAAACAACTAAAAATAATAAAGAAGAGGATTCTAATGTTTGTAATGAACCTAAGGTATTTTTTAAATTTATTTTGAAATTTTATGCGACAACGCAAATTTTCTTATTTTTTGGGGAAAATTTTGTTTTTTTGAATCAATTTCTTTTAAATACTAATAAGTCTTAGAAAGCGAGATTTTCAAAAAAAAACCTTGATCCCTGACCGTGATTTTAAGTAAGGACCTTGACCAGATTCTTGACCTTGAGTCAAGGAAAAATCAAAGAACGCTGAAAAATGCCTTGATCTGGACTCTTCAATGTCTGGATCCAGATCCAGCCCGCTCTCTAATAAGTATGTTAGTATTTTTTGGTTTATTCACTTCCTTTAACCATTTAATTTTCATCTCAATTTTTAAAAATATTTTAGACAGCATCAGAAGCTTGGAGACTCTATAAACAACGAAATAACAGTATTATTGTTGATTTATTTCATGGACAAATGAAGTAAAAATTAATTATTTTTTAATTTTAACTAATTTTTAGATCAACACTTTCTTGCAATGTTTGCAAAAATGTAAGCATTAAATATGATCCTTTTTGTTTTCTTTCTGTTCCAATTCCTTCAAATGAACAAGAAGCAATGGTTTCTTTACAAAATGAATCAACACAATTAAATAATGAAGAAAATGGTTTTGGAAAGGAATCTTTGTCTTTGCCTATTATTGATGCTCAAAGTTGTAGTAGTAATAGTGTTTCCTCTATGCAAAGCTCTTCTTCGTCCAATTTAATTGATTATAGTTATGGATTTTTATCGGTTTGTACAAAAATTTTTATTTTATTTTTAAAGAGGGGTTCTTTGGGAAATAAGTTTAACTTTCCATTTTTTGACTCATGCTCTTAAAAAGAGACATGTCGAACTTTAACCAAAGATTCAACATTTATTTTTACACTATTGTGTCGACCGCTCAAAATTCGAAAACTTTAAACCCTTTAACTTTACGAAATGGGAGTCAGGGCCAAAAAAAGCCGAAAACTGGCAATAGGTTATCGACCCTTCTCTACACGATGGATGCAAAAATAAATTCGGAATCTTTAGTTACTTTTCGATATGTTTCCTTGTTAGCTTTTACCAAATTTAATTTTGTTACTTCTTTTATAAAAGTTAATATTTTTACTAATTTTTAATTTACCGTTCACATTACAATAATCTCTAAAAGTTAAAATATTTCATTCTTTTTTAAATGATGTCCCAAAATTTATTTAAAAAATTTTTTCTACAAATTTTTCAGTGGTTTCTCTTCCTTCTCAGTTATATAAATCCATTTAATGCAGCTCTACAAATGGTTAAGAATTTAATTTCAACATCAATACCTCTGAAAGATTGTCTCAGAGTTTTGTTTTCAATTGATCATTTAAAAGGAGATGATATGTATAGCTGTGATAAATGCAAAAAGTTTTTTTTAAATTATTTTCTATTTTAATTTTTTTAAAAGATTACAAGATGGAATTAAACATTCATCAATTACTCGATTGCCAAATGTTTTAATTATTCATCTAAAACGTTTTCGACACGAAGGAAATTACAATACAAAATTGAGAACTAAAATTACTTTTCCTCTTTATGATTTGGATATGAACCAGTTTGTACGTTCTGAAGAAACTAAAGATGGAGAAGAAAATAATTTGTCTAATTGTTATGATTTGAGCGGATTAATTTCACATAGAGGGCAGAATATTGAATGTTTGTTTAAATTTACTTTAATTCTTTTGGCTTTCCGATTTAATAGTTTTTTAATTGACATTACACAATTTCAAAGTTGGGGGCGTCCTAGTTCGAATCCTATATGAAAAATAAATTATTTTAAGATTTTTAAATGAAGTTTTGTCTTATTTCTAAGCAAGGGTCTCACAATAAAGGTTGAATAAGATTGAAAAAAATTTTTTATTTTCAGACGGGCATTATGTGGCATATTGCCGAAATGCTTCTGATGGAGATTGGTACGAATTTGATGATGCTCAGGTTTTTATTTTTTGATCAAAATTTTAAACAATTTTTTGAATTTTGGGAGGGACAATTGTGTGTTCTCAATAGCTTTTTTAAATTTTCATTCTTTGTTTCGAAATAATTTAAAAATAAATTTTAAGGTAACAAGAGTTAGCCCTCAAGAAGTAGCCAGTCAAGAACCTTACGTTCTTTTTTATGAAAGGCGAAACTTCTTTTGTGAAAATCATGGAGAAGATGAAATTAAATATAAAGAGGAATTTGAAAAGGAAACAGTTAATGAAATTATGGTAATTGATGATAATAAATTAAATGAAAAAAGGGAAGAGAAAGAAGTAATGATGGATATTGATAATGGTGAAGATGAAAATATTTTACAAACAAAACAATTGGAGTAAGTTTTTGAAAATATTTTTGAAGGATTATATGAGCTAGTGTTCGGTAAAGAGATTTTTTGGTACCTAGAGTATCGTAAAGTTCCTGGAAGCTCTACCGGGAGTACGTGTCGCACACTAATATGAGCCTCAACATAGCCAAATTTTCTCTTGATAATTTTTAACTATCAAGAACTTTCTTTCTGTCCTCGTTTCTCTTTAGTCACTTTTGTACCATCTCATGAATTTATTCCTTTTCAGATCATCTGCTACAATCACAACATCTGGTGATTGTTCTTCTTGTTGTCTCCAACAGAAAAATTAATTTGAAAAAATTTCCCAAAAACATTTCAAATTTTTTAGATATATATTTACGTTGTGCCCTTAATTTTTGTTTTTTAAATAATTGTTTTTCAATGCTACAAGCAAATGAACGATAAATTATATATTCTTTTTTTAAGAATTATGAAAAATCCCTTAAAATATTCCAAAAAAATGTTGGGCCTAACTAAATTAGCATTTAGTGGATGAAGAGAAGTAAAGGGAAAAGGGACAAGGGGGGTTATTCTACAATGACAGTCAAGAGATGAAAGGAAGCATATGAATGAGTGGAAAAGACATAACGGATGAAGATTAGCCTTGAGCTATTTTGTATATATTTATTATATTTTTTTTGCATTCTTCATGTCCTCTTTTCTCTTTTGGTCCATTTCCTAAAGCCCCCCACTGTCACTAATAGAATGAGGTGCTTAAGGGGACTCCGTAAATGAAGTGGGAGAAAAAAATGTGGAATTGGGGTTGAGGTGGAGGAGAACATACATAGTGGAATGGGGGGAAGAAGTAGTGGTGAAGAATGAATGAGGGAAAAACTGAGGGAGCAGTCAGTATATACTGAAGGTTTTTGTGGCATTTATTTTTTGTTGCCTTTATATTATTTCTAAAGCCTTTTTTCTATTTTCTCTCATCCCTCGTTCAGGCACACGTTGCTATATTTACCAGTCCAGTCACACTTTCCAATAACAATCCCTCTTTGGCATTATTTTTTGTTTTTTTTTTGCCTGTATCTCTCCAATGCCGTGAGAGAAGAAAAAAAGAAAATTCGACTGGCTTCTATTTTCAGTATTTTAAATGACGGCATATTTTACTTTTATTTATTTTCTAGTACATTTTTCTTCCTCCAGTAAAAAGAACAACATAACTTGAAGAAAAAACCCAAGGCACCGTTTTCCCTTATTTTATATGCAAGTTGAGAAAATAAACATTGAACATTTATGACTTTAAAAAACTTTTTTTAAGGAAACAAATAAAATTTTTTAAAAAAATTTTCCATTTTAATACTTCATTTACTTCAAGTCCATTACCTAATACATAATTGTAATTTTGAGAGTCTTGTTAGTATTTTCTTTTATTTGTTCCTGCATATTTTGCAAAGGTTGTTGTTGTTTGTGGAAGGGACAGGCGCACCTTCTCTGGTGCGCCTCAAAGAAGCCTTGCCCGCCTTTTTTTCCTTTTTTGCTGCCAACTAAAAAATTCGGCTCATTGCCAGACAAGAACCCATTCTTCCATTTTGCTCATTCAAAAACGGCCTTTTGTGTTAACTAAACAATCGAAAATGAACAACTGAAAGCTTTGAAAGACGATAAAGAGAAAAGAAGAATTGTTGTTGTGGCGCGAGAACGCCTCAGAAAAAAGTAAAAGTATTTGAAATATTTAAAAATTAAAATTTAAATAATTTAAAAGATATTTCCAACGTTGATGTAATGGTGGGAAGCTTTGGAAGTTTTGAATTAACTTTTGGAGATTCAACTTCAGAACATCCTTTATCTTTAGCAAATATTTTGAAAGGGGCAATTATTTTGGCTGTTTTTATTCTTTTACTTTGCACGGCATTATCGGTTTTATAGTTGAATAAGAAAATAATTATAATGTATTTTCAGAATATAATTATTTTATGGTGTCGATTTAATGATGTTATTAGCCATTATTTGGTGAGTGTATGTTTATAACTAGGAAAATTATTGGAAAATTATTTTATTGGGGATTTTCTATTGTTAAATAAAGTAAAAATAAATAAGAGCATTACTTCTGTTTCATACAATTTACATAAATCCAGAAACTTTTTATTCTGAAAATTTTCAGAACCTTTATTTCTTTTAATTTCGACTGTTTTGTAAATTAGAAATAAATAAATTATTTAATATTAATTTAAAGATAAGCCTCTCAATAGCTGATTTATTATGTTCTCTTTTGATTGTTCCTTTTAGTTTGTATAGTTCTGTTAGGCCAAATTGGGCATTTGCTGGAGATAATTCTTGTAATTAATGATATTCTTCTAATACTTTTTATTTTTTTAAATTTTATAGTAATTTGCAAATGTACTGTTTATTTACATTTAGTGTATGTTTAATATTAATTTTGAAAGAATAATATTTTATTTCAAGTTTAATTACCTCAACATTGTTCACTTTTTCTTGGATAAGTGTTGACAGATATGCAGCTTTTATGAAGGCAAAAAAATAATTTTTTTAATTATTTTAATTTTGATTTTTTAGCCTTCAAGATACGAGGCAGTCCATACTTTAACTCGTTGTAAATGCTGGATTTTATTTTCTTGGATAACAGCATTATTATTGGCATGTCCTGTTTTAATAACAAAAATGGAGGCAAATTATTCATCCCATTTAGAGTTGTGCTTGCTCAATTGGTCTTCATCTACTTTAGTTTAAATAAATATATTTTTTTGTTTAAAAATATTTTTTAAAAGGCTTATTCATTAACTCTCGGTATTCTTGTTTGTTTACCTTCACTTTGTACTGTTGCCTTTACTGGTTGTGCTATTTTTACAGCAATGCAAAAACCTGATGAATTAGAAGATATACAAAGAAGTATTTTAGAAACTGATCAAAATTTTGTTATAAGTAAGATTATTTTTTTATTAAAATTAATATTCTAAGTTTGTTTTTCTTTCTGAGTGGGTTTTTTAAGAAATGCCACTCGGAAATTAAAAATCACTCCGCAGGAATAAAAATATTTTTTGAAATCTTTCCCTCTAAAATTATCACAGAAAAATATTGTAAGGAGTGTTAAACATTCTTATATTAGGCAAAAAAATATTAGCAAAACCGGAATTTTAGAAATCTTTAAATAAAAATAATAAAATTTGGCTGCATCAGAGGTCGATCGGAAATGACGAAGATGTCTAAGCTTAACTCTCGGAAATCGAAAATGGTTCAAAAGTCAGAAATCCAAAGGAAAAAAACGCCGGAAATCTGAATTCCGATCGACTTCTGGTCTGCATCAACTAATATTACAAAATAATATTTTCTTTAATTTAAGCTTTATTTATTTTAATATCATTTGTATTATCATGGCTGCCTCTCATAATCTTTCAATTTTTACCTTCTCAATTATTAGACAATAATGATGCCGGTGTTATGAAATTTGTTTAGTTTTTTGTCTAAATTTAAATTAATTTAAAAATTAAATTTTTAAGGCCTTTACTTGGTTAGCAATTGGTGGAGGTTCTTCTAAATTACTTATTTATAGGTATTTAAATATTTTAATTAAAAATTAATTAATTTATTTGTAGTTTTACAAGTAAACAATTTCGTCATTCATTGTGTTGTTGTAAAGGATTTTTCTTTGTATCTAGAGAACAACTCCCCCCACCACCTCTAATGCCAACAAAAACTGTTGAGGAAAGATTGTTAGATAGAGATGCTAATTCTATGTTAGTTAATAGAATGTTTATTAGTTCTCTAATTGTACCGAGATTAAATTAATTGTACATACTGTGACTAGCCTTTTAGATTGCACCGGGACTAGACTAAATACTAAAAAAGAAAAATATGGCAGAAATTCTTTTTCTATCACACATACTTTAACATTATCAATCTAACAAATATAAAAAACGAAAATAAATATACTAATCATAACTTACCTAAACTTGACCATAAACATCAAAATTCCATTCTTTTAAAATATATATTCCTCGAATCTACTATGAAGTTTCTCAACCAAAAGATTATTTTTTCGAACTTTGATTAACAAAAATTGTATTAAATTATTTTTATTTTAAGATCTAATAATTTAACTTCCCAACAACAACAAAAACAACACCCAAATATAACATCCCCAATAATTAATGCTTATTCATTCCTTGCTAGTTTTGATTATGGAAGTTTCGGATTAGGACCTAATGGAGGGTTTTTAACTGAACAACAACAAAAACAAAATAGTAGTTACTTTAATAGACAAAGAAATTACTAAAAACAAAATAAATAATTTAATTAAAATTCTGTGATATTTTTTAAAATTAAATTTTTTGGTTAATAATTTTTATTTTTAGAATGATAAAGAATTTATATTAAAAATATTGTAATATAATGATCAAAAATTTATAATTCTACTTTATAAATTTATTTGATTTGGCATTGTTTAATAAAAAATTGCCGTTTTTATAAATTTTTTTAAAACTTTTTTTATTCCATATAGGTAATTAGAAGTGACCTGCAAATTATTTCACACTTAAGCCGGACCGTATCCGGCCGGATTTTTCCGGATTAATCCGGTCCGGTTTTAGTCCAAAAATCAGTTTGATGTCCATCCCAAACAATATTCTAATTAAAAATTCTTTTTTTTTTATTCGAAAACTATTTTTAATTTAAAATTCCCTCCTTTTTTACAAAAAATAATTTTTTCAGATTAATTTTCTTTCCTTCCTTTCATCTTTTGTACAAAATGGTGTTTCATACAATTTTTATTTTGATTTGTTTTTAGCTTCTTCTTCCTTTATTCCATCTTACAAAAAAAATATAAATAATAGCTTAAAGCAGTCATTTTCTTTTTTTATTCTTTTCTACACAATTAAATATATTTTTTATTTTCTTTTTATTTTTAATTGCGTGGGACTTTGATTTTTATTTTTTTACAGAAAATAGTCATATATTTAAGCTTTGATTCATAATTTTTTTATATTTATAATTTTTTTTATAATTTATATTATGTGATTTGTAATATTTGATTTAAACAAATTTGTTCAGATTTAACAAATTTATCGAGTTTTCTCATGGATCTTTGATGATCGATTTGTTGAATTTTTTCACAAAATCCTGAAGGTTACCTGATAGAGATCGAGATTTTTGAAGAGCCTGGGCCTGGGTTCTTGGTTTAATTTATTGTCCTGGGCCGGATCCTGGGCCTGAGTTCAGAAAATCCCAGTGAGGGATTTTCCTGAACAAAAAATGCCTGGGCCTGGACTCTGAGTACAGGAAAAACACAAGCCTTGGTCCAGACCCAGTTTGATCTCTATTACTTACATATGTATATTTTGTAAAATATAAAATTATCATTTTTTGTTAAAAATCCAAGGATTATACTCGTCCCCGCAAGTCCGTGAATTTTAGACTTTTTTAAAATTATTATCTAATTCTAATAATTATTAATTAATTTTTATTTTTAAATAAAAATGTCTTCTCTATTTTATCCCACTTCTTCATTTTCTTCTTCAATCGAAAAAAATAAATTTAAAAATAATAAAAAAAGAAAACTTCGAAATGCTGCATTTATTTCTGTCGTATTTTCAACATTTTCTGTAACAGCTTGTCTTCTCTCTTTTCCTTTAGTATTTCATTACATACAAAAATTACAAGCTTCTGTACAAGGAGAAGTTGATTATTGTAAAATTAGGGAAAAGGATATGTGGCAACAAATGGTTGGAAATTATTTTTGAAAATTATTTTTTTAATAAAAAAATCTTAAAAAAATATATTTGTGGAGGAGATAAGCAGAAATATTAAACAAACACATGTACAATAGATTTAGAAGCGAGGGACTTTGCTCCTACTCGTACGGGAGCTTATCTGTGCAAGTTAACTACGTAATTTAGAAGGGAGAGAATAAATAATAATTTCCCTATAAAATTAATTTTTATGAGTATATTTAATTTACTTCATTAGGTTGAAGTCGAATTAGCTACAATAGATTTAGAAGAGGGAACATTACAGAATACTGAAAAAGATTTTTTGCCTTTGGGATTTTTTGGATTGAATGAAAGAAGGCGAAGGGAGGCAGTAGATGACTCATTATGCTGTACTTGTCAACAAGGGCCACCAGGGCCTGACGGTAATATTTTTTATTTTCTTAAACAATTCATTATTGTCCAAAAAATTTCAAGGTCCACCAGGAGAGCCAGGAAAGGACGGGGCACCAGGTGAAGGACCTGGACCAGCAGGACCGCCAGGAAAAGATGCTGAACTACACGATCGTGTATTGCCTGTTCCACCACAATGTCCGTGTCAAGCTCCGCCTGGACCAATGGGTCCCTCGGGTAATTTCAAAAAAAATTGGAAAATATTTTTAAATTTAAATTTTGAGGGCCGCCTGGAAATGATGGTCAGCCAGGATTGCCAGGAAAAAGTATATTAGATATTTCGAGTAGAGTCTATATATTTTTAATTTTTAGATGGAGAAGATGGACATCCAGGAATTCAAGGGCCTCCAGGTCCGCCTGGCCCTCCGGGACAGCCTGGACCTACTGGTTGTAGAAAAATTAATTTATTTAAATTTAACCAAATTTTCAGGCCAGCGTGGACCCCCTGGAGAACCAGGCATTTCAATACCTGGGGAGAAACCACCACCTGGACCTCCTGGACAGCCAGGACGGCCTGTAATATTTTTTTATTTTGAAATTTTATTAAATTTAAAATTCTTTAAAAGGGACCTCCCGGTTCACCTGGAAAGCCAGGACAGGTATTTCATATTCACTCAGCTAATCTCTCTTAAAATTTAATTTCCTTCAAGCCTGGTAAAGATGGCGAAAACGGTCCTAGTGGACCACCTGGAGAACCTGGACAGAAAGGTAAATTAAAATGAGAATTAAAAATCACTAAATACATAAATTATTTAGGACCACCAGGACCTAACGGTCCAACCGGACCCACAGGTAGCCCTGGTTCATTGGGTGCCGGTGGGTCTTGTGACCATTGTCCTACACCAAGATTGGCACCTGGTTATTGAAATTTCTAGAAAAATGTTTAAAGAGTATGTATGCCTTTTAGAAATTTTTTTGATTTTTATTTCTTTTAAATTTATATTTCCACCGTAAGATGTACAATTTATTAACCACTGGTTAATAAATAACCATTATAGATATTTTTTTGAAATTTATGCAAAATATTAAAAAGATTCCTCTAGATACATAACTTTTATGGACTTATAACTAGTTTTTTTCAGATTATTTTGCCCCTAATTTAGGCCCTAAAGTCTTAAAATAAAAGCTAAAATTGCAAACTCTAGTTATAACTGTTGAGAAAATTACCCCGGTGGAACTGCTACAAATTATATTTAACTTTATTTAAAAAAATTAATTAAATTAATTAAATAAAATAAATAATCATTTATTGATCAATCCACTTCACTCCGTATTCTTTTTGACAATTTTTAGAAATAAAACTCATTGTATAAACACCTGCAGATCTTCTATCTTTTACTAATGCTTCTCTTTTAGTTTTTAAACTAGCTTTTTTTTCTTTTGGAGTTTCTAATAAATTAACTGCATCTTCATCTAATGCATCTAATGAATCTTTTGTTGCATTTTCTTCATAATTAATACTTGTCTTTAAATTAAAATATTAATTAATAATTAAAATACTTTAGGGTCTCAAATTTTACATAAACTTTTGGCGATGGAAAAAGTGTAGAGTAAAATTGTGGTGTATTCAAAATTTGGTGTATAGCTTAGGTAACTCTCTTAACTAAGTGACCAAAGAAAATAATAAATGATGTAAAATTGAGGGTTGTAATTTTGGATGTGTACTAGATTATGGTTCAGCTTTGTTTCTGATTATCTCCTTATTTGTTTTTTGTGACAGAAAAAATATATATTTTTTACTATAACTCCCTTTTATTCACCCTTATCAACTCTCATTTTGCTTCCTTATTTGACAGCTTTGGTATATCCCGAAGCTGTTATATTAATTATCATTCCCAAATAGTTAGTATTACTTTTCCTAAATAGATTCCCAAAAGTTATTCGATTTTTTACATCCAAGGTCGTGAATAAATTTTAAATAAAATTTAAAAAATTTACCGGTTGATCCCCCATTCTATATGCAGCATAAAGACTGTACCCATAAGATTTTTGCATTTTCTTTACAAAAGCCTCAAGTTTCTTTTTTGAAAGTCCACTAACAGTTAATAATAAATGACAAATCTTTGAAAAGAAATTTTTCATTAATTTTTAAAAAATATTTTACCGAATGTTCTCTTAATATTTTACTTTGAATAATTTTATCTGTTTGATCTAAAAAATATTTTTTATTCTTAAATATTTTTTTAAAAAACCTCCAACTTCAAGTCTCAACAAATTAATTTTACTTTTCCTTTTTTCTGACGTTAATATTTTTGATAACCATTTTTCGTCAAATTTATTTCCACTCAATTTTTTAATTACTTTATAATTTACTTCTAAATCACTGCCTCCTTTTCCTCCCTAAATTGTTTTTAAATTAAAATAATTTTTAAAACATTCGTAAATTTATTTTAATTTTATCTTTAGAATAGCCAAATTAAAATTAGCCAATTTAAACAAGATTCAGTTTAAATTCAAGACATTCTTAATTTCAAAGGAGGGTAGCACCCATCCCCCGAAACCCCGACCCGAACCCCGAAGGCTCTACCCCGGCAAACCCCGGAACCTGACACTCCCGTCCCCGAAGGCTCGGGGTCTCGGGGTGCTACCCTATTTCAAAAAACATTCTTAATTCCTTTTTTATTTACTTCTATAAAAATTAATTCAGACATAATTTTAATTATTCAAAATAATTTAGTCTAATTTTAAATTAACATACATGGTCATATACACGAATTTTACATTTTTTTAATAATTTTGAAATTTTTGCTTCAAATTTAAGATCTGAATTTTTTGAAACAGAAAATACCTTTAAAAGTAAAAAAATTTAAATTAAAAATATAGAATATAATATAATTACCAAACAATTCTTTTCATCGTCTAAATGTTTATAAGAACAAATATTGTGTTCAGCAATACGATCAATTTTTGAACAAGATGCCTAGTTAATTTTTTCTTGAATAAAAATAATTTTAAAATTAAAAATACCTGAAGAAGTTTAGACAAACCTTAAATTAAAAAGAAATTTTTTTAATTAGGAGATAATTATTTTAATTTTTGTTATTTAATTTTTGTATTATTAAGATTAAAAAGAGATATATGAGAGAATTATTTATTAACATATAGGGTTGTTAGCTTCAACAAATACTTCGGCTAACCGAAACCGAACCGACATTCTTGGTTTTTCGGGTTGGTTCGGTTTCGGTTAGACTTGAAACCAATAACCCTATTCACATATAAATAATACAAACTTTAATCGGCCCTATTTTAGAAAACAAATCTAAGGAAAAATACACATCCTAAAAATTTAGAAGAGTTGATCTTTCGAAGAATTTAGGTGAGAGAGTGATATTATTAAATATTTTTTATTTTTTTTGTTAAATTTTATACTTTTTACTTGTAAAAGGTATTAAACCTTCAGATAAATCTTCTAAAGAACTATTGTCATAATAATCAGCAAAATAGGAATCTTTTGATGAACTTAATGAACGATAGACAAACACAACAAATATAAAACAAATACAGGAAGCAAAAAATACATAATTTTTAATTGATGTTGAACTACGCACTTTTATTGCCATTAAAATTTAATTAAAAATATAAATATCCCGAGAATTATTCTAAAATCAAAAATTATTTAAAATGAGGGAAAGGGCAACAAATTTGAAATTATGGATTGAGTCAAAATCAAATGAGGTACCAAATAAAGTATTCTAAAGTTATTAATGTTTATCAAAAGTTAAATTAGAGCTTTGCAAACTATTGTAAAGCATATATGTAGGTATTTAATTCCTAAGGCTGGATAGTAGGCGGCGTGGTGTAATGGATAAGCATCTTCAGTTGACCGAATTTCATCAGTTCGGTCAACTGAAGATGCCTATACTAGCTAGTAGTGCTAAAGGAACAAGAGTTTTGAGAATTATTTTAAAATTATTATTAATTATTTAATTTAATTCACTTATTGATCATTTAAAATTATTTTTTTTTTAATTTAATAAAAGAAAATAAGAAAAAATGGTAGTTTTTTCCCTTTTTCCTCGTTTTGGATATAAAATATATTTTCTGGTTCATAAAAAATTTATTAGTGCTAATATTTAGATTTATATCTAATTACTAATCTAAAATATAGATATTCAAATATATATCCTTTTATTAAAAATAAAAATTAAAAGAATATTTATGTGTAAAAAACAGGTCAAAATTAAATTTAAATAAAAAAAGGAAAATTTAAAAAAAATAAATTTTTAAATTTTCAAAAAAATTAATTTTTATTTTAAAAACGTTCATTCTTTTTCATGAATTCAACATAAATCTTAAAAAGTTCACCAATTATTAGACTAACCATTCGAGGCCCAGCATTATCATTTATTAATCTTTAAATGGAAAAAATATTTTCTTAAATAATAAACTAGGAAATTTATCCGGAATTCTTTAAAATTTATTATGATAATTAAAAAAAGGGAAAGTTTGAAGAGTTGACTGTACATATCTATATGTATTTTGCCTACAACAAAAAATTAAAAAAATTTTTTTGAAAGTGAAAAAAGGAATGGCAAAACATAAGAGTTAATATTCTTGATAGAGTAAGGTTAATAAAGATTAGGGTAGCTCAAAACTGGTTTAAATCTGATTAATTTTCGTACTGTAAAGATTTTCCAGATTAGTTTTCTCTTTTGATATTTAGCCAGTCTTATTATGGGCGGAATTCCAAATTTCAAAAGTTTTAAAATTAAAAACTTACTGAAAGATTAAAACTCCATCCATGCCCAATTTCTCAACAAAACTATCTAAAAAATAAATAAATTTATTTTCGAATTTATTTTTATACTTTTATATCGATGAATTGCCTTTTCTAAGTTTAAATAATTTTGTTCCATAATTTTATTTTTCCATCCAGTTTTTGTTTTTGGTTCAATTATTTTTAAATTTTGATGAAATGAATTATTTGGCATTTTAATTGTAGAAATTGAATTTTCTTTGCTTAAATTATATAATTAATTAATTATTTTTTTATAGGATGAGTTTGAGTTTTCCCTGTACTCAGAGTTTTCCCTGTACTCAGAGTCCAGGTCCAGGCATTTTTTGACCTTCCCGGGGTTTTCCTGGAGGCCCAGGATCCGGCCCATGTCAATAAATCTCGATCTCTAGTTCAAAGCTAAGTTTAGATTTTATTGAATTTTGTCCTAACTTATTAATAAAATATATGGTTTTAATATCTTTATCAGATCCTTTACGATCTAGCATGTCTTGAATTTTTTTGTTCATAAATAGAGTTCCGAGGATTATTTTTTCTAAAAATTAAAATCCAAAATTTCAACCTTTCATTTCCCTTTTTATCAAAATTTTGTTGTTCTTGTCTAATTAAATTAATATTTTCTAAATCATTAATACAAGAATTATAAGTTTCACTTGTTGCTGTAGTCATTGTAGTTGTTTGGCTATTTGAAGATAATGTGGAGGGTGATTGACATTCCCCTTTATTTTTGTTTTTAAATATTTTATCAGTCTCAAAAAATTGGGAAATATTTAAATTATAATTTTTTTGTTGTTGATTATTTAATTCTTCTAATTCTTGGAAGAATATTTGATCAAACTTTAAATAAAAAAAATTATTTTGCCAAAAATTCTTTTATTTTTAAATAATTCATACAAATATTTGTGTTGTACTTAATTCAACTTGCCTTTAAAAAAATAAATTTTTAAGAAAAGAATTAAAAACGAATAAAACTTTTGGAAATAATTAATTGATGGACGAAAAAGAAGCCAAAACCAACGCAAAGTATTCAAAAATGTGAGGACTGTCATTAAAGCTAGATATGTTAAAAATATATTAAATATTTAGTATATCCTTACCAAACCAATAATAGAGTAAAAAGAAAATTTTTTCGTTTAACTAAAAAAATAAAATTAATTTAATTAAAAACTAGATAATATAGTATTTTAAATTTAGTAAAAAATTTGGAAAATGTTACGGGTATTTTGGGTTTTTTTTGGTTTCCAAAAAATTATTAATTTTTAAGAATCTCAAAATATTTTACTAATAAGATTTAAATTATTTCACTCTGCTATATTCAATGAATTTTAATACCTTTTTTAAAAATTAATTTAACTAGAAAATTATATTTATTTAATTAATTTAAATTTTACATAATTAGCCATTAAAACACACTGAACAGTAAAATTGGCAAATAAATCATTCAACATTCTTATCTACAAATTAACTGTTTCTTAAATTCTAATTAATTTAATAACCTTAAAATCACACAGACTAACACGTGGAAATAATCCATTGTGTTCCCAGGCAGATCCATAAGTAATAAATGATTTAAACATCTTTTTTGTTAAAATAATTTTTAATTTAAAAATTAATTTTACTTGAATTCCCCAAAAAGGTGTTTTATTTGCACCCAAAAATAAACTTATAAAAATTAACTAAAAATAAAATAAAATTTTTTATTTTAAAAAACCTGTCCAATATTAACAAAAAGAAAAAGACATTTCATTAATAAATAAACAAAACTAAGTGTATTTTGTATTAAAATACCCCCAAATTTCCTTCAAAAAATATTTTTTTTAAAAATAATTTAATTTCTCCTTATTTTTACCAAAAAATCCCCAATTCTTTATCCTCCAAATTATTTATGTCAGAATCTAACAAAACCGAAGCTAAATGTCTTGCAATACCCGCAGCAACATTATTTTCACAATCCTTCCCGGCAGCTTTGTGTGCTTGATTGAGGATTGATGGAAGTCTTTTACCTTTTTTTATTTTTAAAGAAAAATAATTCAAAATTCTCACTAGAAAGAGCATTACTAATTCTCCATAAATAATTAGGTAATTGACAAATAATTGCTTGGAGAACAAAAATAAATGGAACCCACTTTAAATTTAAAAATAAAATAAATAATTTAAAAATTAAATTACTTGATAATAAGAAATACGGTCATTATGATTATTTCTTGCACCTTTCATTGGCATTGTTTTATTGGATGGAACATAATAAGTTGACTCAACGAAACTTTAAAAGAATTTTTAAATTAAGATTTATTTTTCTACTTTTTTCCTATCTGGATCCTCTTCTGAGGTCTTCTTCTAGTTTTTATTTTACTTCCTAAACAGGATCTAGCCCTTTTCAAAACCTTGTATATGAACCAGAGAATGCCAAAGTTTCTAACCCTAATAGTATTCAAAAAATTAAAGAAAGATGATTAGCGAATGGCGATATCATTAAGTTTATTTCACTTAAATTTTATTTAATGGGAAAATAGAGATCTTAGTTATTATTTAAGTTTCATTTAATTTAATAAAACTTCTTCCTTTTTATTTTACCAAAAATCATGTGCATATTCCAGCCAATCATCACTCCATTCAGCTTGCGACCAGCAATAAATAGGTTCGGAAAATGGTCCAAATTCCTTAATTTATTCACTTATTAATTAATTTGACGAAAGAAAACTTTTGTAAAAACAAGAACTGCTGCTGTAGCCAAAATAAAAGAGGTTGTCCTTTAAATTAAATTTATCTGGTTATTAGAATAATTGGCAAAAAATATATATAAAATATTTTTTCTAGGAATTAAGTGGCCAAAATTAATTAAAAATATTTTCAGTAATTAAAGAAACAAAACTATCTCTCAATTTGTTAATTTAATTACTAAACTTTAAATAAATCTAAATTAATTTATTACATATAATTTGCTCTGTCCACCATATCCTCCTCATGTCGAGGTTTAAGTCTTTTTTGAGCAATCCTTTTAATTACATCCATTTCTTAAATAAATAATTAATAGACTTTGTTAATTAAATTAGTAAGCTTGGGGATATTTTGTAAAAAGTGTAGAAAAAGAGATAAATTAAAAACTGTGGCATAAAATATATGGAAGGCCAGCGGGAAATAATCGGAAATTATACTAGAATTGACTAATAAATTTTAATATTTTTCTTTTTAATAAAAATTATTTATTTAATTATTTAAAAAAAATATTAAATAAAAATAATATACAAATAACATTAAAAAACTACAAAGTTAATTCACACACACATTCACACTTTTGCCTTTTCAAATTATCCGTCCATTCATTTACATCTCTCTTTTTTTAATGTTGATGATCACATTTAAATGAATTAAGCCTTTATCTTTTCTGGCCATCTCTTTTACAATATTTTTATATTATATAGTTTTGCTTTTATGTGTATTTGTTACAATAAAAAAGTAAATTTAATTTTAAAAAACCATTGATTTCTTTAGAAAATTAAATTTATTAAATTATATGTAAATTAAAAACAAACAAAAGTTGTTGAAAATAACAGAGAAATATCCTGATAAAAATTTATCATCAGAATAGGGTTGTCGGTTTGAAACCGAACCGACCCGAAACGAAAAACCGAAGATTTACGTTTCGGTTAGTCAGTTCGGTTAAACGAAGAATTTGTTGAAACCGACAACCCTACATCAAGTAATATGTAAAATACTTGTATTCGAAAAAGAAATAACGCCAAATAGTCGGCGCCGAAATGGCAAAATCGTTTTCCCCCATAAAACCTATACCTTTTGGTTTCAAGTTTTTACGCCTAAAAATGCTCCAAGTTTGTATGGGAGGCGGTTGTGGACAACTAGGCGCGCTGCCGATTTGGCGCCAATCATTTTATTTACTAAAAACTTTTGTTTCAAATACTTCTAGTAAAATTTCATAAATTAATTGAAAGCACACACATATCTAAATTCTTTTCTTAAGAAAATCTAAAATTTAGAACAGTTTTGGTCAAGAAAATACTCTGCGTCAAAAAATGGCGGCGCCGAAAAACCGTCTTCAATCCAAAAGGTTTAGGCTTTCAAAGGTTTAGGCTTTATTTGAACATTTTGGCGCCGACTGTTTTGGCGTCAGGAAAATTCTTGTTTATATGCATTTTTTTTCAAAACTTTTAGAATATTTTTATGAAATTGAAGGTATCTCACTTAAGTTTGGTTATTTATCTATTTAAAATTTTTTTCATAAAATTCTAACTGTTTAATTAAAATTTTATTAATTACTGTCAGCTTTTTTTCCAACTTCCAAGTCTTAACTTATAAGGAATTATAGAAAAGGAACCTATTCTTCAACATTTCAGACCTAAAATGGCGGGCTCTACATATTTAGTATGTATCTAATTAAAAAATAATTAATCATTATCCATTAAAGTTTGTATTAAAATTTTTGTTTTTAGTTTATTATTAGTAATATCTCCGATAATGACCTTCCTAAATAATATAACTTTAAACGTTCACCTACATTTTTACTAAAAAGTTTATTTATTTTTACATAAATAAATAAATATTCCTTTAAATTCTTTAAATAAAATGAAAAAATTATTATTTATTTTTATTTATTTATTTTTATTAATAAATGGACAAGAATTTACTAAGGAAAATAATCATAATTTAAATCCTTCTTTTATTTTGGATGAACCTCCACAAAATATTATTTCAAGTAGTAAAATACGTCCTTATAGACGATTTATTCTTGATGAAAAACCTTCTCGTTTCGCACAACAAAATTATGAAACGGAAATGGCTAATTGGAGAAGGGAAATTAAGAAAAATCAAAATAATAATTTGCAATTTAATAATAATAATAATAATTTATTGGGAAATAATTTATTATTTAGAAAGGTTTGTAATAGTTATAAAGAGCAGAGTATTGGAGAAAGAAGACGAACCTCCACAATCCCTCAATCCTTTTCCCGAATCCTACTAACTTTAATGTTTGATAGATTGGCCTAAGCAATTTTAAAGCAGGAAAACAAACTCCGCCACAAAATCTCGTTATTATGGAATCCATATACCTATTAGTATCCATAGAACGTTGAAGAACTTTCCTTCCACCTTTGAACAGGATTAATCCCAACACGAACTCAGTTCCCGCTGTAAAAGAGTTAATTGTATTTGTGGGAGCTATAGCTATTGAAAGAAGGCTAAAGTCCTGGCTATAATTTACCAAACATGAACTTTTTCAATCCTATTAATTTGAATTAAATTCTTAAAATAACACAAATTAATTTTTATAGTCTTTAATTATTTAATTTTCAGCCTCTATTAAATTATTTTTCATTGGAAACTTCTCCAGAAAAAGTTTTTAAAGAAATGACTGGAATGGATCTTCGTTCAATTTTAGGCCCGGTAGCTGATCATTTAGTCCAAACAACTACCCCAATTAGTTATACAAGGCCTATAATGAAAAATAAATTTGTTGATTATGGAATATTGAGGTATTTTTTGTGAAGTAATTAGTTAAATATTTAATTTAAAAAATAGTTTGGACAATTTCTTAAATGGACGTTTTCGTTCAATGCAAAGAATACCTTATTTGTTAGAAAAGGAGAAAATGCTGAAATTAAGAAATAATGAAACATTGAATACACAACCTCATGTAAATTTAATTAATTTAAAAGTTATCAAAAAATATTACTTATTAACCATAATTTAATTTAAACTTTTATTTCTCCTAAAATAAGTTTTATATTTATATATTAAATGTTAATTATGTAAATTAATAAGATAATTACAGTCTTTTGACTAAACATAGTTCTTGGTAATTATTTTTCAATTTACCGCTTAAGGGGAAATTATTCTAGGGAGGTTGAAGAAATTGAAGAAATACGGTATATCAGAAGATAATTCAAAATAATTAACCAAAACTAACACTAATTTTAAATTAAACCATTACATAATTTAAATTAAAAAATTAAATTTTATAAAGGAAAAAGAACATGAAGAAGAAGAAATTGAGGGATCAGGAGAAGAAGACAAAGAAGAAGAAGAAAAACAAATTGAAAATAAGAATAATACTTTAAAAGAATTAAATTCTTCGATTAAAGGAATTCCAAAAACTAAACCATTTATTCCAAAAATCCCTTTATTAAATTTTAATAATAATGAAAAAGATGAATTAATAAATACAAAGATAAATAAAAATAAAGAAAATAAAATAAATGAAATTATGGAAAATAATGACAATAATAATTTAATTAATATGGAAGAATATCAAGTTTGTTTTTAAATTTAAATATACAAAAACTAATCCAGCAAATAATTCATAACTAGTGCCAGGAAAATTATTTTTCCGGGCAGGGAAACCGGATTTTTGTTTCCTCGCTCATGCCGGACCGGATCAGGCCAGATTTATATGGGTTAATCCCGTCCTAAAAAACCTGGATTTGGGACACGTCAAGTCTGGTGGCGAGCACTATTCATAACTGAAAATTACTCTAATAATCATGAATTAATTAAAAGAAACTTTTCCGAAAATAAAAATATAAAACTATGATAGGCTAAAAACAAAATTATTTAAATTAATTTTTAAAAAGTATGGAGCAAAACCAAATATGCAACAAGGAATATTAAATACTTTACTTGACTTTTTTGGAGTTAAATATTTACAAGGAAGTGAATTAGACAAAGTTTTGACTGACTGGATAATGGAAAATACCCCAAAATATATTAGCAAAGTTTGAAAAAACAAAAATTAATTTTTAAAAATGTTTAAAATTTAGAGTGATAAAAGAGCGGGGATTAATACAAGTAGTTATGATGTATTGAGAGGTTTACTTAGTCAACCTGTTCTACCTCTTTGCAGTTCACCTCCTCAATTAGTTGAACATTTTAATTTGGATGCATTTATGGGGCAATGGTTTGAAGTAAATTAATCAATTTTTAAATTAATTAATTAAGAATCCTTAAAATATTTAAATTTATTAACGCCAAATCGTCGGCGCGAAATTGAGAGACCTTTTAGATTCAAGTTTTACGCCAGAAAAGCTTAAAGTTTTGCACGGGAGGTGGTTGTAGACAACTAGGCGCTGCCTATTTTGCGCCAGTCATTTTCCTTATCAATAACTTTTTGTTTTGTAAACTTTTATTAAAATCTCTTAAATTATTTGAAAGTTAATTCATAATAAATTTTGAAATTTAAAATAATTTCAATCAAGAACTCTGTGTTAAAATAGGAGCGTCGAATTACCGTAATCAATCCGAAAGGTTTGGGCTTTATGTGATCATTTGGGCGCGCCGATCATATTTTTAACTTAAAATTATTCAGCAATAATATTTAATTTTTTCCAGGTTATGTATAGCCGCCCATTAATTTCTGCACCATTAGAATGTACAACATTTTCATTTAGGCCAATATTTAAAACAAATCGAACAGATAGAATAGGTTCTTTGTTTGAAATTGTTAAATTTTCTATTCCTCCAATAAAAAATTTAAATAATTTACAAAAACCAAAAATAATTTCTGGACATGCTATTTTATCTAGACCTGGACAAATTATTTTAAAAAATACAAATGAACCTGAAGAAATTAATGGTTTAGATATTTAAATAAATTTAAATAAAATAAATTAAAGTAAATATATTGGATGCCGGTTATTCAAATGAAGAAAAACGTTATGATTGGGCAATTCTTGGTATTAATTGTAATTATCCTATTAAAGTAATTGCGAGAGATCCAATTACTTTTAATCAGGTTATTTAAAATAAATTATTTATTAGATAGTTTTTCCCCTCACTTACATCAAGAATCATTCTAAAATTTCTAATTTGAATTTAAGTAAATAAGGAGTGAATATTTTATTCTCATCCATTTTTTTTCTCTTTTTTAAATACGCTAATTTAAAGGAAATTATAATTAATAAGATTCTACAGTTATGGAATAATCTTAAAATTAATTGAAAACTTTTTTCCCTTATAATTTAATTAAAATATTTCTTAAAATTATTTTTCAGAAATATTCCCAACTAGCAATGCATATATTAGAAAAGAAAGGATTAATTAATAAAGTTAGCCATATATTAAAATTTGTAACAAATACATATCCAGATAGTTGTAAAATACCCACAAATTTATTTATTTAATTTATACTGAATAAAGTTTTGTTTATTTATTTATTTACTCGAAAGGGGCATCTCCATTATAACATTAGCTTATTTGTTTTTAGTGTTTCTGATATGCTTTATGGTTTAAGGTTCAACACTTTTCTATTATTGCAAACCGAACAGAAAATTTAGCAGTTTCGGGTAATGAAAGAATTTGCTGAAATAGACGACCAAATCTAGTGATATACGGTCAACATTTAAAAAATATATGTATGATAACACAACTAGCATTTTTGGATGAATTAAAAAATTAAATAAAAAACAACAATTTTTATTTACATTCTTTAAATTTAAAAAACAATTTAAATATTAATAGGTAAATATCTAGATTGAATTCCATATGGTTGTACTAAACTAGTCTTTTTTGAATTATTATTATTTAATTTTTGTCCAAATTGTTGTGTTGTAAAAGAATTTGTTTGATTAATTATTTTTGGTTGTTTATTTAATTCCTGGGATATTTGTTTTGTTAAAATATTATTGTTATTTGGAGAAATTGAAGAAGTCCAATAATAATCACATTGCTCTTTTTGGTATATATTATCCGCTAAATAAAATTATATTCTTTAAGAGTTAAAAAATTATAATTTATAGTTCAATCATAACTATCAAGGGCCAATCGGGATTCCGTTTCCGATTCCCGGCACCTTCGCCATTTCCGATCGACCCCTGATAACTATGGCGCCTCATATAAGGAATATATTAACCGCGAATTTCTTTTCGTTCGACTAATCCTTTCAGTGAATTTATTCCAAAAATATTTTACTAAATATCCCTACCATCCTTATATTATTTAATTATTTTCTAAATCTAGAATAAAATGAAATTAAATTTATTTAATTTACATTTATTTTGGCTATTATCATATCTTCCTTTTTTACCATTTCTTAAATAATTCTTTTCTCGATATCTCTTCTCTGACCAAAATTCTGTTCCTTCAATTAAATAATTTTTGTTGAAATGATTTGAATCTGATTCTTTAGAAAAATTAAATTATTTAAAGAATATTTTATTAATATTACCAGAAATAACTGTTCTCCTATTCCTTGCAGGAAACCCATAATGATAAGGAGAAGAATGTCCAGAACAACTTGCACCCATTTGGAAATAATATTTTTTTGCAGAAAAAATATTAAATATAGAAAAATGAGGATATTTTTAATATTATATAGCTAAAAATAAAAAATAAATTTTTTTGATTGAAAGAACAAAACAAAATATTTTTTTTGGTATATTTTAGTAAAAATAAAATCTTTTCTTTCATTTTCTTATCGAAAAGCAACAGTTGGTTAAAGAATAAATTGTTTATTGTTTAAACATTAAAATTAATAAATATAGAATAATTAAAATGTGGGAAAATAAAAGGATTTTAATAATAATAAAAATCAAAAATTTAAATTAAAAAAACATTTAAGAACCCTTTCATTCTTTCCTCTAAAAAATATTTTAATTGAAGTAGAATTTAACAAGAAACTTTCAAGAAAATCTCAAGATTATTTACAAAAGAAAATAAAATTAATTTTTCATTCTAGACAAGAAAATTAAATTTAATAAAAATCGAAAAGGAGAATAATGAAAAGAAAAAAATTTTTTTGCACTTTATTATATGTAATGTACTTGTAAGGAAGGATATGAAAAAAATAAATAAAAAGATTTTGAGACAACAAAATTATATATAAAGGCTGGATAGAATTCTTCAAGTGGAACTGAATAAAAAGATGTTATTGAGAAGAAAAAATAAAATTTTTTAAAGAAAAATTGAAAAAAAACTGAAAAACCTCCAAAAACTATAAGTCGTTATAAAAATTAATATGACCGAAATTTACTTATTAGAGTTGTGAAGGTAAATTTTAAAAATTCGAAAACAAACTTCAAATCGGGATCTAGATTAGCTTAAATTTCAATTGAATTCTTGGATTAACACCAGAGCTGTCCGAAAGTGGGAAAAAAATTTCCCGCAGCCGTAATCCGCAGTCCGCAAGTCTAAAAAACCACGCAATTTACGCAATCTGCATTCCGCAATCCGCAATTGCGGATAGCCCTGATTAACACAGTCTTATTCGAGTGGTTGAAATTTTTGTTTCTTATCAGGTACGAATATTAGATACTGGCAGTATGTTGAGTGTTCAAAATATTTGTTTGGGAATTTAAATATAAATATATGTAAACATGTAAATATGTTTTTCTTTTAAAAATCCCACTCCCTAAATTTAAGAAAAAAATATTTTATTTTCCAAAATAATTTTTTCATGCTTTAAATACATTTACGCAAATAATATATTTAATTCATTATTTTATTGTTACAAAAACTAAAAATAAAATTTAAATAAAATTTTTAGAAAAAGGAAACTAAATTTATATATTCATTTTGTTTAATTTAACGTAAAATTTTTTTCAGAAAAAAAAATTTTTCAAAGAAATAATAGAGCTTTAAATAATAATTTTTAATTTAAATGAATATATCTTTAATTTTAAAAAAAAAGAGAAATAAGCAATTATTTTATATAGAAATCTTCTAAAAAAGGAAAAAAAATTTTAAGAAAAAATTATTGTAGCATGCAATGATGTTCTTTGACTTTAATTATTTTTTTAAATTAAAGAAAATAATTAGTTATGTAAATAATAATTAATTATGTAATAATTAATTATTTTTAATAAAAACAAAATTGGAAACAAAAAGTTATTTTAGTTTATTGTTTCAATTTTGTGTTCAGTAAAATGGTAAAATTATAAAATATTCTAAATTTGGATAAAAACATAAAAAATAATTTTATTTGGAAACAAGTTCAAAAAATAGTCAAAAATAGAAAAAGACTGATTTAAAAAAATTGACACCTGAACGGGTTCGAACCTATGACCCTCAAAGCCAAAATACCCACTTAAGTACCCGGACACAACCTCTCAAAATGTCAAACAGAATATTATCTAAAAAATTTTTTTGTTAAAAAATTTAATAAGTTTGGCATTCTATCAAATAAACGAAAAAATAAATCACATCGGTAAACATCGTCCGGAAATACGTAGGTATCCCTTCTATTAAAGTACATACAATCAGTAAATCTTAAACGAAATTAATTAATAAAAAAGAAATTTGCAATTAATTTATCAGACAGAAAATTCTTTAAAATTATTTAGAACAAGATTTTTAAAAGAATCTTTTAGTTTACATGTAACTTGATATTAAAAACATAATAAAGTCAAGCCAGTTGTTTTAGCTTAATAAAAGTATTTATTTTCTTCTTTTTCTAAGAAATTTTAAAAAAGAGGGAGGATTTTAAATTTTGAATTTAAAAAGATTAAAATACTTTATAAATATTAATATCAAAGATTAAAATATTTTTTAGAATGTTGGAAAATATTTATAATCATACATATCTAATACTAATTCCACATTGAATTTCGAATAAACATTATTCGGGAAAATGTAAAATGTGTAATACAGTCACGGATAAAAGTTTGGACGCAAATTTTTAATAAAAAATATCTTACAGTAGTATAATGTTCCAAAAATTCTATAAAAATTTTTGAAAACATTTCCATTGATAAACGAAGTCCGAATTTTTTCATCGAGATTCGAACCTCAAAAATCAATGGAAAATGGAGGTACTCTAAACAAATATTTTTACCCTCTAGAGCTTTAATAAAAAAATTTTCTTTTGGGAAAACTCAAAAATAATAATTAAAGAGTTACCTAAAAATGTTTTAAAGAATTTTCAGGTAAAAAAAAGAATTCAAAACATTTTTTTAAAACACTTCCTCTTTGGCAACAACAATTTTTCTGTTTTTCCAGAATAAATCCAAAACACATAAAATTATTGAAGCATTAAACAAAATAAATTCAAACAAAATATTTTTAAACTTTATCAACAAAAAAAAAATAAATTGATGAGCATTAAAAGAAATGAAAAATAAAGAAGGAAAGGACAACAGGCACTGACTTTTTTATAAAAAAATAAAACAAAGAAAATAATATTTTTAAATTAATATTTAATATAAAATAATTTTAATCTCTCATTTAAATTTTAAATATTTTTTGGTCAAAAATTAAAAAATGAAATAAATATATAAAATAATTATTTTAAAAAAACAATTTAAAATTGAAACAATAACAAGAATAATGCACCTAATTTAAAACCATGCAATATTTTATAGAGAGAGAATATGTATAGAATGAATAAATTTCCAAAATATTTGTTAAAATTATTTTTAAGGCCTGAAAGGAATACGTTCACTGCTACTTGAACTTCTTAAAAATTATTTTATTATTTATCAAAATAGCCGACAAGAAAACTTACTGTGTATTAATTCCCGTAAATCGAACACCTTTAGGTTGATTTGTAATTATATCAGATCCAATATCAGAAGATCTACTAGCTGGCCTGGAAGGGGTAGAAGCAATGTCAGAACCTCCTTGTCGAGAACTTGCAGGCCGGGGAATGCGGGAAGAGCCATAAATATCATCTTTAGAAACACAAAAAATTAAAAATTGTTTTTATTAAAAATAACCAATAATTGAGGAATGATCGGATTGTGATTGTTTTAGTTGTGGAATTGAAATAGTAGACCCGTTATCTGCTGCTCTTTTGAACATTGGCAATGAACGCTCAGTTTTTTCTCTTAACTTAAATTTAGATTGTAGATACCAGTAAATAGTACGAGGGTATACCTTCATAATAGGCCCAGGCTGTCCAGGACTATATCCAAGCACTCTTTCAATAACATTTGAAGATGAAGGCTGGGCAATAGGAGCAATACCAGAATTAGAAGATGTTGATTCTTTTCTATGGAATTCCCCTATAGCATCAATAGCACCTATAGGCCTCAAATGATAATCAGAAGTTAATGGAAGTAAGTCGACGTTTATACGGCCCTTTAAAAAAAGAAAAATATTTTTTAATTAAAAACTGTTACTTTAGCTCGGCATGGATCATGTTTTGACAAAAACCCATCCAAAGCTTCCCAACCACCACCAACACGAACCATTACCTTTATATGATATAATTATTTATTGAAACTTTTTTTAAATTCACCGTGCTACGTAGAATTCTCACCATTCTTTTCATAGAACCTCCAAACCCAAAACCATATTGGACCTAAAATATATTTAAAAATAAAATATATACATACTAAAATATTAGAATATTTTTTAAATGAAGCAGAAAGGAAAAGAAATAGGTAATTTGCATGTTTGGAGTATATTTTATTTAAAATGAGGTGTTGGAATAGTAAAATCATGCTAAAAGTAAGAAAATTCTAATGAAGACGAAAAATTTGGCAAAAATGTCGGTTCTTTTCGATTATGCCGGCAAAAGTTTGTAACTTATATCCCCGGCCATATACTTATTCTATCACGAGTTTAAAAGAGAAAAAATATATTAGAAAGATTTAAAACAAGGAAGAATATCTAAAGTCCTATCCGGAACTGTGATCAAAAACTTTATGACTGCGGATAAAATGGTTCAGAAAATATTTTACTTTTACTAATTAGATAAATAGTAAAATTCCTTAGCTTTAAAAATTACTCCAAACCTAGTCAACTCAAAAGAAAATGAAAGAGAAAAGTTTTAAAAAAAGTAGAAAGCAAAAAATAATTTTAGCATTAAAAATTTCAATTTTTTACCTTATCTTTATCAGTACTTAAATGTAAAATAGGAAAACGTCTAACACAAGTACATCTAGCCGTTTCTCTAGCAATTTCTTCATGTATTCTTTCTGTTTCACTTTTTGGAGGTATTCTTTTATTTGGATCATATCTCAAAGCATTCATAAATTCTTTTGAAGAAATTAATCCATCACCACCATCAAATTCATTGGCAACTTTATTCATTTCTAATAAAGTTGTTGGAAATTTTGAAGAAATTATTCCATCAATAAATTGTTGTCGAGGTACACGTCCAGTACCTAATTTATCTATTCGACGAAATAAATCAGAAACTCTAGCTTTTCCATGATCATTCCAAGCAAGATAACGTTCACGCCATTCCTTTTATTTAAATTATTTTTTTAATTTAAAAATATGCTAAAGGAAAAGTTAAGAAAAGAAAGGAAGAAAAGAAGTAAAGAAGAAAGTAAGATAGAAATTAGAAATTCTAAAAATTATTCTTTCAAGTACCTCAAAAGTAAAGTTCTTCAATCTATCAATTTCATCCAAATGTGCCTTTCTCTTAAAATTAAATTAATTTTTAATAATTATCTTGGCTCTTGTCCAGTTTATGCGTCCCATGAAAGTATATGCGTCCCATCAACAAAAAATTGAATATTTCTTGGTGTTGCAAAGTAGGGGTATGGTTCCAGAGCATTTCTTCATGTTCGGGATCTACGCCCACTGGGCCTGAGACTTTTCCTTGCCCTATACCTCGAAATTTCTGAAAGTTAAAATCGTTTTTCTGAAATTTTTAAAAATTGGCTATAACTTTCAGAAATTTCAAAGGATAGGGTAAGGAACGGTCCCAGACCCAGTGGACGTAGATCCCGAACATGAAGAAATGCTTTGGAACCATACCCCTACTTTGCAACACCAAGAAATAGCCAATTTTTTGTTGATGGGACGCATATACTTTCATGGGACGCATAAACTGGACAAGAGCCTTATCTTTAGTATTTTTCCCTCAAAATACCTGCTTTAAATGTTCTTCATATAAACGTAAATCTGCCCATAATTTCCTCCAAGAATCTCCCAATATTTCACTTTTTGTTTTATTTTGTTGACGTAATGGTGATGATTGTTGTTGTTGTTCTTGTTGTTGTATTTTTTCTTGAAGTTTAATTTGTTTGGCAGCAGATGCTCCTCTTTTAGGGGAAAATTTGGAAGGAGAAAGAAGAGGTGATAGAAGTTGGTCAGTCTGTTGAGAAAAAAAAGAATATTTTTAAATATATTTAATTCTAAAATTTATTTTACATCATCTTTCCCTTCTTCATTTTCATTATTTATTCCTCCCTTATTTCCACTAAGAATTCCAAAATTATCAGAATGTCTTCCACTATGTAAACGTCTTTTAGCTGCTATTTTCATTACTTCATCGAATTCTGGTTGACGTTGTTGTAAATCTGATTTAAACATTTGTTGTTCGTCAATTAATGTTTGTAATCGTGCTTGCTGACCCTCATCATGACATTCTCCTCTAAAATTTAGAAGAAATTAAGAATTTTATCTAATTCTGTATCAAGTAAAAATCATCTAAAAAATAATTTGAATATAATAATCTAATACCTATAATAATCTAATTGCCCTTGCTTTTCTTCTAAATAATTAAATAAATCATTCTGTTGTCTTTCATGTTTACGAATTTCCTCCAATCTCAGTCTTAACTTTTCTGATTTATCATTTAAAAGCGCATCCAAAGATTCCCAACGAGTATTTGCTGTTGTTATTAATTCTTTTAAAGGTTTTTCTGCACGTGGATGGCTACGAGATTGAAGTTCTCTAGCTAATTCTAATTGCTTTTCTAATGTTGGATGTTCTAACATAAATTCTTTTTGGAGTTTTTCTAACTGATTTTGTTCTGTTAAAACATCTTGTTCTTCCCAAGGTAATCCTAAACGGCGAGCTCGGCCTTCAATGTCTTGAAGAGTAGTACCTAGTTCATGCCTTAAATTTATATTAATTAAATTTGGTTAAGCTGCAGAATTTTGCTATGGAATCGGGAAATTAATTTTCTCAATCCCCTGCGACCAAAAGTGACAAAAAACAAAAGAATCAAGCGATTTATAATATTCTAAATCAACGCCGCAAATTCTTAAAATAATTTTATTTAAATTACATCATTTCAGACAAATCAACAGCCTTCTTCAATGCTGCTGTAAATCGGCGATCCTAAAATTGAAATTTTAAAGGAAATTTTAGTTTTCAACTACTCTTTCTGCAATAGAACTTTCTAAACGTTTCCATTGCCCATCGAGTGTTTCTAGCGAAATAGCTAATTTATCCAATTCTTGAGGATCTCCGCCTTTTGAAGCCAAAATTTTTTTTGCTCGTTCTTGGACTTTGAGAACATTTGGTTTTCTTGTATCTGCGCGTTCTACTAACTAAAAATTGATAAAATAAATTAAAATATTTTATAAAGAAATAAAAAATTAATTTACGTCAAAATGCTCTCTCATTAAAGTATTCATTGTATCAATATCACCTTAGAATAGAAGAATTAGTGAAAAAAATAATAATGAATTGTGTTGATATTAAATAAAAAAGAAAATAAAATTTACCAAAATAATTTTGTGTTAAAAGTTCATTCTCAATTGGAGGTAATTCCTTTTTAAGCCATTCAAGTAATTCAGCCAAAACTTCATCAAAATGCCCACTTTGAATTAATGCTTCTTCTAAACTTCTTTGTCTTTTTAAAGTTCTTTTCCCCAATTCTGCCCATTCATTTCCTAATTGATCATTTGCAGATTCAATTCTTCGTTTTTCTGCTGGCGGGGCATGTTCACCCAACAAATTACCTCTTAACCTAGAAATTTTAGAAAATAATTTAAAGCTAATTTAAAGCAAATATATTGCCTAGTTTCATCAAAAAGTCCTGTTCTCCGTCTTATTTGATCTTGTAACTTTCTATGTTCTTCTAATAATTCCCTTATTCTGTCACCAGTCCCCATCTTTTCAGTTTCTTTTTCATCAAGTAATTTAAGTTGTTCTTCTATCCAGTCAATTAATTCTTGTTGAGCAACGAAAAAGAGCCTTGAATCATCCTAGAATATTAAAATTTTTCATCGAAAATTTAATCTCATATTCAAAAATTCCAAATAAAAATATAAATTCTGTTTACCAATGCAATAGTTAATGTACGTAATCGTTCATTGCTTCTTTGTGCAAGCTTGTCTGTTCTATGTTTTAAAGAAACTAATTTATTTTTCATAGGAATTGCATCCTTCTTTTCACAGCTTAATTGCATTCTAATACCTTTATTATTTAGCTCTTTCATACTAAAATAATTTTAAGAAATTTTTTAAATATTTCTTTCAAAATTTCCTCACAATTGACATTTTGTTTGGACAGAATCATTAAATGTTTTGTGAGTACCCAATTGTGTTTCGAGTGTTTCTACTAATCTTGAGATTGGAGGTACCATTGCCAAATGATTTTCTGCTTCAAGTAACCAATCTTGCATTTCTTGCATCTTAATTGGTATAGGGAAATTGATTTGATAAATAATTTACTTAATAATTACCCCTTGGGAAAGCTCTAATGCTTCTTCAAGTGCTTGTCGTAGCTTCTTCTCTTGTTCAGCTAATTTTTCCTGGAAAGTAAGAATGTGGTAAAAGTAAGGTTTAATTATTCCGAAGGTGAGTTTTTCTGAAAAGGATCAATCGGTAATTCCAATTAAAAAGACAACGTATAAGGAATGGTGACTAATTTCAAGTTATATGTATTCTCAGTTTTCTTTAAAAAATATTCAAAACATTCACTTGAAGAGTTTTCCAATCTGCTCGAAGCTTTTTAACTTGACTAATTGTCCTGTCTTCTTTTCCATTCTTGACTTCAGATCTTTTCAAATCTTCCATTGATTCTTCTAGGGAATTCAAGTATTCTTCAAATTGAGGCTTTCTTTGTTCAACATCTGATTGAATTACTCGAAACTCGTCAAGCTGGGCAATCGCTGTTTCAGGTAGACCTCCTATCGGACGATTTGTCTATTTTTGAAGAAATATATAATTATTTTTTATGTGTAAAAGGGGTACCCTCATTTCAGTTAATAAATCAGCCAGCCATAAACGCCATTTTTCCATATCATTATTTCTTGAAGTGGATTCGGCCCTATTTTGTTCTAATTCATTATATAATTGTTGTGTTCTTTCATCTAGTTTTGACCAATTCGAGACTAAATGTTCAATCATTGGCTGTGTGCTAGCTGCAGCAGAAGAATCTTCTTGGCGTAAAATCTGTGCTCCAGCAGTTAAAATAGCTTCATAACTTGGTTGATGGGCAGAAATGTCGTTTTGAAGTATCTAATTTAAAATTCATTTATTATATCAAGAATCGCCCAAAATATTTTTCAAAAATAAAAACTAAGACATATGCGGAGAGACTTTTTAGTCTGCCTGTTTTATACAGACAATATTTAGAATATAATTTAATTAATAAATTTACCCTTAATTTGCATAAAGCAATCTCAATATGTTTTAAACCACTTGTTCCATTATCTGAATATAAGCGCCATTCTCCTTCTACCCCATCTAATGTTGATAAAGTTTTATCAATCCAATCAACTAATTGAGCATGTGCTTGAGAGAACTGTCCCATATCAAGAAGTGCACGTTCTAAACGTTGTTGGCTATCCAAAAGACGTTTTAATAGAACATTCCATCGTTGATTGAGTTCGCCCAGTGGTTGTCTAATTGAAAGAGTTGGATCATCTTTAAAAATAAGTCAAGAAAGTAAGAAATATTCTAATTACCTGTATCCCCCATAGATGTATTTTTTGTAGCAGCCATAACAGCACATAATTCAGCTCCCATTTGGTTTAACTGTTCACGACCAATTGCTGCTTCATCCAATTCCCTTCGTAACATATCAACAATTTGAAGTTGTTCTCTAACGGAATCAACAGAATTTAAAGGATTGTCAGTTATAATATTAGAAGCTTGATTTTCTTTTGCAGCCAAGAATGAAGTTAATTGTTGCAGTAAAGAGTGGAATTGAAGTGACTAAATGATTAAAGAACATAAGTTAAGGAAGACGTAATAATTTTTGAAAAAAATATAATCGGTAAATATGAATTGATAAAAAGTATTTTGATAAGAAAATTTAAAAATATATATCAATCAAATTAGAAGTTATACATTTAGGTATAACAATAGTCTGTCGAAGAATCCCCATCCCCCTGTATTGTGGACTAGTCTGGATTACTCAGACTTGTTTTGTTTTAGCCAGGTCTGAGCTTCTGAGTTACTTTGGGTACTTTCTATTTAGTTTCATATTTAATTTAGTTTCATATTTTTTTTAGTTCATAAAATTTTTTTCTATTTAGTCTCATATTTTTTTTGTTTCATATTTAACAAAAAAATTAATGCAAATATTACGACAAAGATCATATTTCTGTTTAAACAGTAGGTTACTGTAGAAAAAAATTTCAATCAAAAAATTTGAAATCTTGTTTTTTTATTTAGCAAAAAGAATTTAAAAAAAAAAAGAAAACTTGCCTGATTAACAGCCAAACTTAGAGAACTACTCATTTGAGTAAAATGTGCCAGAAAAGCATCCCATTGTGCCTGTAATGCAGCTAAATGTTGTTGTACAAAACTTTGCTCTTCTTCAGCACCCAATAATTCATTACACAATTCAAGTCCACCCAAATGTGCTTGTTGAACACCTTGCGAACACTCAGAAATTCCATTTTGAAGAGATTGAAGTTGATTTTGTCTTTGTTGTAATTGCTTTACTGGACTATCGAATAAATCTTCGGCTGCTGCAGTCATTCCAAATTGATCAGTGTGTTGACGAATTTGGACAACAGATTGTTGGGCAAGGTCTAATTGAATCTAAAAATTGAAAAAAACTTAAATAAAAATTAATAATCATATTAATGATAAATAGAAATTACGTAATAGAAAGAGAATAGGTAAAGAAAATAAAGCTTCGGTGAATTCTAGTACTAGACATAATACTGATAAAAAACACCTAGACGTCAATTTCTATTGTAATTCATTAATTTAGTTAGTCTCGAGTCATAATATTTAGTTAATTATGTAATAACGCAATACAGTTGGTTAAAGAAAATTGAATGATAAAATGCCTAAGCTAGAGATTTTTTAAAAGATAGAATAAATATTAAAAAATGCTCAAAGAAAGTCCAAAAAATTATTTAATTTACCCAAAATCGTTCAGCTAAAGGAAGTATCGTTTCTAGTTGTAATCTCCTTCCTTCAGCCGCTTGTTTAAGTTCAGTCCATCTAGTATCCAATTCAGCCAATCTTTGTTGGTGCATTTCTGCTAAAGTTGATGGTTCTTGTCCAGAATTTAAATTTTGTTGTTTTGCAAGTTCAATCTGTTCAGAACACTGTGTTTTCATTGCCAAGAAAGAAGGTTCTCTTTGATGTAATAAATCAAACATAGCACTCATTTCAGCTAACTGTCTTCGGATTATTGGTGGGCGAGATGAGGGAGGTTCTTGAGAATGTAATTGCTCTAATGCTGCACTTAAATTACTCAAAAGCATATTTAATCTGTCTCCCAAATGTGCAGAATGTTCTAATGAAGAAGTTAAAACATCACCACGTTCTTGAAATGCATGAACTAATTCTTCGAAACCTGAAAAAAATAAGCATTTTGAAAAAGATTTCAAAAAATCTCATTTTAATTGTCATATTTATTTTTAGGAAAAAGGTAAATATTATATTTGTTAAAAAATTATGCAGGTAAATTTAGATAAAATAGTGAAATGATTATTAAATTATATTTATTGTGATAAAATTAATGTTCAAAAAATCCAAAAAAAATCTTAAAGTGAAATACTATGTTTATAAGGGAGACAGCGACGACAAGATTATTTAAAAAAGTTTTTTAAAAATCCTACGTTCAGCAACATTTTCAGAAATTTGTTTTAAATTTTGTTCATCAATTTCAGAACAAAGTTCCCGCAATGCAGCAACATTTCTTTCAAATTTATTAACCATTGGACGTTGACTTTGAATTTGTTGAAGAATATTCTTTAAAAAAATTATTTTTTAATAATAAATTCTTTGAAATTACATTATTATGTTGTTGTTGGGCTAAAAGAACTTTAGCAGGCATTCCTGTAGTTATTGGGTCACAAGCACATAATTCACGTTCAAATCCATCCATATAATCATTAAGTTCTGTATATTCCTTAAATAAAATTTTTTGAAATTTAAAGGGAAAGAGTTAAAACAAACCGAATCAAGTTCTTTTGCAAGGGCAAAAGCCTGAAAATAAATTGGGGGTATAAAATAAAAAATAAAATCGAAAAGGTGAGAATAACTATAAAGTCGGCCAAAAATATAAGCTACTTAATTATATGTCAACTATATAAGGTGCCTCAATTTAGAGTAAAGTTTAAAAAAAATTTAAAAGAATTTATATTAAAATACTTCATATACATACACTGCTCCACATAATTATAAGTCCACCCGTTTTTTCGGGATTTTTTGACTTCCAGTGATCCAAATTTTCTGAAAATTTAGAAACACACCTTTTAGTGAATAACTAACAAGATGTGAATCGATTTTTGGCTGATTTTTTATTTAAAAAATTTTTAGACCAAAATTTGCATTTTCGGCCTCCACAAAATTATAAGTCCACTTTACAAAAAAGATATTTCCAAGATTAGGAAAAATCTACAAAAATTCTAGCAAACAGACATAATGATATTATGAAAAAATAAAAAAGAAATAGACCCATATCTTCACCCGGAGCCGAGATCCTAAGACCCCGAAAATCAACGTAAAACGGGGGTAAGGCTCTTTAAAAAAATTTTTCGACCACTTATGGATTGTTTTGAATTTTGATATTGGGCTCATTCGAAAGCCCTTGAAATTTGCTACAAGATAGCATTAATGATATTTTATAGAAAATTCGATTAGAAAGATACGGGCCGTTAATTTTCTGATGCAGCAAAAATCGTCTAAATGCCCCATAAAATGCCCTTTAATGACGCTTAAAAAGTTTATCGTCTTGTGTCTATTTATGGAATTTTTCTGAAAAATAAGACTATTGCTATCTTGTAACAAATTTCAAGGGCTCTCGAATGAGCACAATATCAAAATTCAAAACAATCCATAAGTGGTCGAAAAATTTTTTTAAAGAGCCTTACCCCCGTTTTACGTTGATTTTCGGGGTCTTAGGATCTCGGCTCCGGGTGAAGATATGGGTCTATTTCTTTTTTATTTTTTCATAATATCATTATGTCTGTTTGCTAGAATTTTTGTAGATTTTTCCTAATCTTGGAAATATCTTTTTTGTAAAGTGGACTTATAATTTTGTGGAGGCCGAAAATGCAAATTTTGGTCTAAAAATTTTTTAAATAAAAAATCAGCCAAAAATCGATTCACATCTTGTTAGTTATTCACTAAAAGGTGTGTTTCTAAATTTTCAGAAAATTTGGATCACTGGAAGTCAAAAAATCCCGAAAAAACGGGTGGACTTATAATTATGTGGAGCAGTGTATGTCTCAAAGGTGTATTTTATAGCAAAATCTGACTGTATTTTACTTAATAACGTAATATTCTATTTTACTTGTTCTAATTCAGCAGTTCTTTCACTTCCAAGTTCAGCCGTTTCTTCAGCCATTTTCTTAGTTCTTTCAACTTTAGTTAATAAAGCTTCTTGTCCTTCTTGCCCTCCCAATGTTAAATTTAAATCTCTAGCAACTTTAGAAGCTTCAGTAATCATATCTCTCAATCCGTTTCTTTCAGAAGATATTTCATCATTTAATTGCCTTTGTTGTTTTAATTGTTGTTTTAATTGTTCTATATCTACAGCCGGCTTTTCTGCATTAACTATTTGTTCTTGAACTTCGTTAAACCAGTCAATCCAAAAATCGAGAACGTCAAAAATTAGTCGAGATTGGCGTTCGGCCTGAAAATTTAAATAAAATTTATTTTTGAAATAAATTTTCTTGATTTTAAAATTATAGATAGGATAGAAAAAAAAATTTATAAATTATTATGATCAAGAGTGTAATTTAAGGCTAAAGAATTATTAATTACAACAATATTCTCATTTAAAAACAAATATGAAAGTGTAAAAATTGAAGATTAAAATCTCTCTTATCTTTTATTTACATTAATTTCCCCGGTATGAAAATAATTTTTGGAATTGTGATAACCTATCAAACTGATTATTAATATTTTTTGTTGAATTGAACTGTCCTTAAGGTTCAGATTTTTAAAATTAAAGCCTCCAAAATCCAAAATAAAATAATAAAAAAAATAATTTCCCTTACTTTACTCAACAATTCAGCCTTTTTAGTAACTGTATCTGCCACAGAATTAAAATATCTGAGTAATTCAGCACTTTCTTTTGCCAATTGATTAGCTCTACTTTCTGTGGTTAATCTCTGAAGTTCACAACTAATTAATTGAATAGATTCTAATTGTTCTCGTGCTGGGCCCAAATCTGATTCTATTGTACTAATTAATTGAAATTGTTCTTCTAGAGAAACTTGAGATAAATTTTGTAAGTCTTCTTCAACATCTTCCAAATGTTTTCTTTAAAAATTAAGAAAATTTTTAATATTATATTTTAAAATAAAAAATTATAAATTTAAAAAATTCCATAATTTTGAAGAGCAAAAATCATAGAATTAATTTTATTGTAAGGGAAATGTCCGAGGTAGAAAATTTAAGATTGCAAAAAAAAAGATCTCCTAGCTAAGAAAAATGTTAGGTCAAAGTTTCAAAAAATATTTATAAAAGAAAAAAAAATTCTTCGTTAAATTAAATATGTAGGTCGGATTTATTTTTTTGCCCGTATTTCTTTAATAATTAAGCTTTTTAGAAAAAAAACCCCAACTTTAACTCAGTCTGTCCATCTAACAAATTCTCGGCTAAAGTCAGTGCTTTTTCCCAAATAGCAATTTTTGAATCAGCATCATCAGCCAAATTATTATAACGTTGTTTTAACTGATCTGTACGCATTTGTAAAGCTATAGCTTCACTTCCCCCAAGGTGTGCAAACAATTCTCGGGTATTCTCAATAACATTCTCTAAAAAATAATTTTTTAGGATTTTGTTTTCTACAAAATATTTGTTCAACTAAAACAAATAATTATGTCTCTTTAACCTATTTTACTGTGAAAAAATTATATTTTTAATATAATAAATCTAAGAAATAAGATGTTAGGTACCGTTAGGTACCAAAATATGGAAGTTATGATAATTTGTTTCAGCCTTACCCTTTAATATGTATTTTTCTCTTACCTAATAATGGAGCTTGCATTGAAATTTCGTTTACAAAATCAGCTAATTCTTCGCTTTGTTCTGTTAATTCCTATAAAAAGATTATTAATAAATATTCTAAAAATGCTTAAATTCACTTTTGGATGAATCGGTAAATCATTAAAAAGTAATATTTGTTTCTCAGCATGGCTTAACCATTCTGCAAGTCTTTGTTGATATTGCATTGAATTACTAGATAATCCTTGTAATAATTGATCTAATTCTTGTTTTGCAGATAATAATGACTAAAAAAGTGTAATAATTAAACTATTTAATATTAAAAATTGTAAAGGATTGAGAAGCAGATTTAGAAAAAAAAATTAAAATTTGATTTTAAAACAAAATATTATTTCAATAAAAGAAAATCCAAACACACCTCATAATCTTCTTGCGCCCTCAAAACAGTTTCACGGACTTGGTGTTGTTGTAACAGCTGTGTTGTTGTGACCAATGCTATACCTTCACAAATAGGTGAAGACATACCGCCTCCCCGGTCATTTATTTCATCAACATAAGCAGCTATTTCAACTTCAATTCTTTGGGCCAACTGTTCAATTGAGTTTAACTCTGGTCTTTTAGACTAAAAATTATTAAAGAAAAGATTATTATTATTTTTTTAGTTTAATGTCAAGGAAAATTTAGATAATAAAGAAGGGAATTGTTTGTGCAAATATTATTTTTTAGTTAGTAAAAACTGGACCACATAATAAATAAAAATTGAAAAAAAATTGACAGACATTAAAAAAATAATTTTCTTTAATTTTAGAGCTACTAGAAGTATAGGTAATTTATCAGTTAACAAATAAAATTTGCTCTGGTAATCTAAGCACTGTTCAGGACTAAGTGAATCATTGCTTAGATAAACAGGTAATATCACTGTCATAGAGTAATTTCTTATTTTTGGATAGTTATGGCCCAAGTGTTCAACTCTCATTCGGAGCCGAAAAATTGGATCAAGAACAAGTAAAGCTTTAAGGTTTTTGATTCTTAGTTATTTATTTAAACAAAATTCACCAAAATTATTTCATTCAAATCTTCAAATGCTCTTCTTATGTTATCTAGTTTTTCTGGATCGCCCGATTCTGCTCTCAACGAATCCAATTGCCTTCCATGTTCGAAAACCCAAGATTGAAATGAGCTTGCACGTGATGTAAATTCTAACAAAAGGGCGGTTGCTAAATCTAAACGTGCAAGTATAGCATCAGCTTGCCGTTCCAAACGTTCAAATGTATGTTGTAAACAATGACGATTTTCCTAGAAAAAATTGGTTTTTGATTTTCAAGTTTTTTGCCGGAGTAAAGCTTTCAGATTCTTAACTTTATTTTCAAAAATAATTCTACATATTTAAACAAATTACAACAATTTTAGCTATTTAGAGGAAAGTTAATATAAAAATAAACATAGTTATAAGCACCTTAAGAAGGTGAAACTGTTCAGGACTAAGTGAATCAGCACACTCAACACATAACCTATCCGCCTCAGCTATTTGCTTTGCCACTTCAGTTGAATAAGAATTAAGCTTTTCTCTCATTCCCTAAATTTAAAAATTAATCTTTCAGCATCAAGTAAAATAATTTACCACAAAATGACTTCTAGCTTCCTTTTCTGTATTGAGTGGAATTGTCTGGATTTGTTCGAGTTGGGAACGTTGTAATTGTCCCAATTGTGAAATAAGTGAATGAATATCTGCATTTCGACGTAAACATTCAGAATGAAGAGTATCCTGATTAAAAGGAAGAAATAAACGTTGAGAAGGAAAATAAAATGTCTGGCGATGAACTCCCATTTTTTAGGATTATTTTATGAGAAAATTAAAGTTAAATTTGTTAAAATCAAATTTATTTGCAAAATTATTAATAATTTTTAAATAAAAATATTGTTTCCTTCCAATTATCCAAATATGTATACAGAGTTAAAACCTACCAAGAATTTTAGTTCAAATAAAACCTGATCTGCTCTTTTACTTCAATTAATAAAACATTTTCATTTTGTTAGATAAAATCTATATAAACTTGAGAAAATATTTTCTTTTTAAAAGACAAGAATTATCTAAATAATATGTATAAATTATCCCCTATAAAGGATCAATACACACGCAAAATACTTAAAAATTCCCAAATATATTTTAAAAATACGCCTTCTCCATTTTTTACCTTTACCATAAAAACTTTTTTTTTTAAAAAGAGTCACTCTCCAATAATTATTCAAATTAAACTCTTTAATCTAATCTTGTAGTTCAAAATTAAAAAAGAATTATTAAAATTGTATTAAAATCGCTTTAAAGTCGCTTGCATTTGCTTTTAAACACAGTTTTGCTATAATTAATTTGGTGTGGTAATTTATATAGGTATTATAATTTAACACGCAAGGCACTCATTAATTAAAAAATAAGTGGTAAAATAAAAAAAATTAGAGTCAAGCTAATTAATTTATTTTAAAAATTACTCACAATTCTTTATTTTTGTTAGGTTATCTAATTTTAAATTTTACTAGCAAGACTCTAATTTTAAAAGTAAATAATGTGGTGATAAAAAAATATACATAGGAGAGAATAATTTCAAATTTTTTAATAAAATTTTTGTTTGAAAATAGCTGAAACTTACAAAAAATCTTTTTTGAAATAACCTCTCTTTTTGATTAAAAAAAGTAAAATTAAGTGAAAAAAATAATTTTGTAATAAAATTATTAAAATAAAAATCAAAAAAAGGAAAGTGAAAATGCCTGCGTATTATTGTGGTAGTGTTTTTAATAATGGGTAAGAAAGATTAAGTGGTAAAAGAAAATTTTTTGTTAAATTTACAGAGAAGTTAATTAATGTATAATTCGTTAAGTGAGCAGTGGTCAGTTAATTATTAATAATAGCTGGAATGAAATTGAATTTAAAAACAAAAAAAAAGGTTAATTAAATTGATTCCAGCTTTTGTGGTAAAATATAAAAAAATTAATTAATTAAACTAAAGATTTAATAAAATAATTAAATCATTTTTATAAAAATGACTTTAGATGATATGTTTTGATGTGGTATATTAAGTGGTTAATATGAAGTGAGGCAAACTTAAAAAAAAGAATTGGCTAAAAGATTAGTTAAATGATGGCTTAAATTGAAATTAATAAAAATTTGGAATATATAAAAAAATAAAAATAAATGCGGCAAGAAATTAATTAAAAAGAAATAAAAACTTTAAACACAGAAAAAATACGCATTTTTGAAATCATAATTAATTCAAGGTTTTCTACTATAATTAATTATTTTGCTTTTGTTTTTAAGTTATCAAGAGGTGTTTAAAGTTTTTGAAAATAAAAATTATTTAGAAAAATTATTAAAAAATAAATTTCTCATTTAAATAGAGAAATCCCTAACTAAAAATATTGTTTCAATACTCGCTGCGGTGATGTGTATAATGTGTAGTTGTTCGAGTTTGCCCATCAGGAGAGATATGTGTACGAGTGCGATCAATATTTAAAGGGCCTTCAGACGGCTCTCCTCGACGAAATTCTTCGATATCTCGATGAAAATCTGTTCCCTAATTTTTATAAAAAAATTTAAAAAATTTAAAGTTGATTTTTTAAATAACTGTTTGGCCAATAACAGCAGTTGGTGAGGGAACAGGCATTCCTGGAGGGAGATTACCATCAATACCACGTTCAACACTTGCATGACGAACATCTGCAAGTTCGGGACGAGAACGTAATTCTGCAGAATCACCTCTCCAATCTACATTACGAGATGACCAAGAAAGACGATTATTTATTGGAGGGAGAGAAGTTGGTGAACTAAAAAGTTTAAAAGATAAATTGATAGTCAAAAAATATGTATAAATTGAAAGTAAGAAAAAATATAATAATAATCCAAAAAAGGTAAAACTGAGTTTGCAATGAATGAAAAAATATGTAGATTTTAATCATAATAGATGGTCAAATATGTATGTTAGTAAAAAACAGGAAGTTAAGAAGATTGAAAATATGGGAATTGGAAAAATTAGATCATATAAAATTATTTTAAAAATAATTTAAAAAATTTTTTTCATTTTTCAACTCACGTATCTACTTCAATCCCAAAAGAAGATCGCCGCTGGTATGGATCGCTTACTCCAGCATAGCTTCCCAGACTGACACTCCCAGGAGAGAATTGTTGTTCACTTCTACGAAAAGCAGGCAATCCTCCATACTTTTCGTGTGCTTGGGCCAAAGCATCAGATAACTTTAAATAAAAATTAGTAAAGAAAAAATTTTAAAATATACTTTTTGGCCTTTTTCTGGGCTTGTTTGAACTAAACGCATTGAGATAGCGCGATTAACCGGATAATAACGACCAGATATTGGATTTACAATATTTCCGGTGCTAACATCGAAAAGACCAGATTCAACGGCTTCCCGAATTGACCTTGAAAAAAGTAAAATAATTGGTGATGCGACTTTTGCGGCGCGTACACTTGCGGCTCAGACATTTGCGGCCCAGACACTTGCGGCTCGCCCCTATTTTGACACTTGCGGTGCCGACACTTGCGGCTAAGAAATTTTCGGCGCAGACATTTGCGGCTATCAATTTGAAGCCCAGACACTTGCGGCCCAGACTATTGCGGTTTTGACATTTGAGGCTCCCCCCTATTGTGACACTTGCGGCCCGACATTTGCGGCCCCAACATTTGCGGCCCAGACATTTGCGGCTATGATTAAAAAATTTAATTAAAAAATCATAATTTATCGTTCAATTAATATCGGTCAATAGTTTCTGATTCCAATTCTCAAAACCTTATTGAGAGATTTTTCTCAAATCCTAACTCTCAAATCCTTAACTCAATGTATTAATTACCCTGGGTAATTATTATTTCATTCTCTCGCTGGAAGGAATAAATAATAGAGATGGGGTAATTATTTAAGGGTTGGCAATTATTATTTCGATTTAGATATTTTTTTATCTTAAATTTATGAATACCATCATTAATTCCGTTTCGGGATTTATAAAGTCACCCAAATAATCACAAATTATGAATAAGATTTCCTGCAAAGTATGAAGGTTTGATGCACTCAATGCAATTTGAAACGAAATTATTTCTTGATATTGATAAAAGCCATTATTAAAAGTGGAATCTAGTATATTTGAAGAATTTTTAGGGAGATGTAAGGTTGATATTAAAGGAAATATAATGAGACTTGGAGGGTAAAATAGGTGGAAATTAAAAAATCACTTAAAAATTACTTAAAATTACTTTTAATTTAAAAAATTTACTTAATTTTTTAATCATAGCCGCAAATGTCTGGGCCGCAAATGTTGGGGCCGCAAATGTCGGGCCGCAAGTGTCACAATAGGGGGGGAGCCTCAAATGTCAAAACCGCAATAGTCTGGGCCGCAAGTGTCTGGGCCTCAAATTGATAGCCGCAAATGTCTGCGCCGAAAATTTCTTAGCCGCAAGTGTCGGGACCGCAAGTGTCAAAATAGGGGCGAGCCGCAAGTGTCTGGGCCGCAAATGTCTGAGCCGCAAGTGTACGCGCCGCAAAAGTCGGCTAATCAAATAATTTACAAAAAAAATTTAAAAATAATTTACATCATTCTCATTGTAGATGGATTTTCAACACATTTTTCATCAACATCAAAGCCTTGTTGTTGTAATAATGCAATAAAATCGTTTTGCAGATCTGCCAATGCTAATGGATCAACATCCCCAGAACGGACACGTGAACCGCGAAGTGAAACATCTCCATCTCCCGAGTATCCTCCGGAGGAACGAACACGCTCAGAAAGGCTGGGCTCTCGTGGTCGACGAGTTCGAATAATTGTTTCTTCTTGTATCGGTGAGCGACCTTTAAAAATAATTTTTAATTAAATTTTAAAATATTTTGTTTACCACTTCCAGTACTTAGACGCTGTAAAGTAGCATCATCAAGCGGTTCAAGACGGAATTTATAGCCTTCTGCATCACGTCTTTTTAAAGCTTCGCTAACCGCTTGTGCTGCTTGCATTGGAGAACCAATTAGAGCAATAAGACCTCGTTGTACTGCTTCTTTTAGAGGAACAGGAGAAATTAATGTATGCTGTCCAGGCTGGGTTTTAGGTACGTAACGACCCTAAAATTAAGAAGAAATTTATTTCGAATTTTCCGGGATAATTTACTTGTGAGTCTATAAGTCCTAAATTGAGTGCTTCACGAAGAGTAATTGTTTTAGAAGAATTTAAATCATGCAATAACGAATCTGGATCAACCAAACGCTGGCTGACAGCGGCACTGAATGGAAGATAGAGACGAGTTTGAGGGTCCTAAAAATATTTAGAAATTGGAATTTCTTTAAATTTTCTCACTTGTACTCTTCCAGATCTTTCTTCAAATTCATCCGAGGCAATTACTCTAGCTAAATTTGTCTTCTCTCCAGGCTCATCACCACTTTTTACTGTTCCAGTGTCAATAAGCCCTTGGCTAACAGCTTCGGCAATTGTCATTTGCTTTCCTGTCTCAGAGCAAGTATATCGGTCTTGTGCAACATCTATCAATCCTTTCCCTACTGCTTCGGCAAATGTCAATTTATCTACACGCCGCAAATGGTCACCGACTTCAGCAGGTATTGCTCCTTCTTCAATGGCCTTTTGTAATGATACAATTTTATCAGCTGATAATTGGACTGTTTTAGCTCTGTTTAAATAAAAAATAAGAACAGGTAAAAATTGGAAAAGAAAATCTGGAATCAACCCTCTACTTCTAATAACCCCGATCTGACTTTCAAAATAAAAAACATCCCCACCGTGGATCGATCAGTTTAGCTTCAACAGCCTGTATCAAATTAATTCTTCTTCGAGTTTGATAATCTGTTAGACAAGGCTCAGTCAATGCTCTCAACGTTTGAGAATCAATCATGCCGCGTTGACTAGCTTCTTCTAATGAATGGCGTTCTTGTGTTATTGGGTTAATATAAATTCCTCCAGAACGGGAATTAATCAATCCATCAGCTAGAGCAGAAGTTACAGGAATGGCATATCCTTTTCGAGGATCATAAACCCCATTTTGCGTGATTGCGTTGTAAACTTTTCTCGTTAAATCCACCCAACTGAGAGGTTCGCCTGTGAAAGGATGTCGAACAGCACCGGTTCTTGCGTCAATAATTCCAAGATCAATAGCTCTTCTTACACTTATTTTTTCGCCAGTTCCAGGATGGTGTATTCCATTAGGCAATGTTTCCGCTAATGTTACATCTACCAGTCCTTGGTTAGCGGCACTACTCAAGTCGATTGCCTCACCATTTCGTGGGTGAATGTACTAAAAAAAGAAATCAAATTTTCCATTAATTTCACTTCAAATTAACAAAACCTTAAGTTCTCTAATATCAATCAATCGTTGTCTAATAGCTTCTTCCAAAGAAAGTTTTTCCCCTCTAGCATTCATTACTCCTTTATTAACTGCCAATTCAATGTTTGACCGAAAAGCGCTATATTCTCTAGTGCTAAGTCGTCCTTTGCGGTCAACACGAGCAAGTCCAAGACGTTGAGCATCTGCTAAAGACATAACACGACCATTTCTCAAATCCTTGATTTGATCGATGCCAACAAATTGAGCATGAGGTTCTAATTCAACTGATTGTACTTGCTAAATGATAAAAAATAGGATGAATAATTTAATTGTAGAGTAATGATTACCGAAGTTGATCGAACTTTTGTGCTTGTTTGAGTCGTAATAGGATCGCCATGAAGTTGAATGGTAAACTTCATGTTACTAGCTGGATCAAAATATTCGCCTTTTTCTAAACCATCAGCTCCACGAATCACATTAACTTTTACAGTCTTCCCTCCACCCAAATCAACCATTCTTTCATTTGGACCAGTTAAAGTACTCAAAGGTCCACTAACGACGGCGCCTGCTAAAACAACAATGTAAGTTTGAAAACAATAAAAATTAATTACTAGTTGGTGCTGCAGTTGTAGAAGAAAATTCTCGCCCAAAGTATGAAGGCGAAGAATCAACAACGGTTCCACTTAAACGATGTTGTTTAGGTTGAGTTGGTCCTCCACCTCCAATTGACCATGTTGAGGTTCCTCGTCCACTCCCAAAACCAGTCTCACCAAGCGAACCACCACCAGCGCTTCCGCTACGTCGAACAGAAGGAGGCGAAAGACTTTCACCAGCACTGCGGCGGAATGGCTCCTGGGCATATGGTGTAAGTTGAAGTTTGCGTTCTACTAATCTAGGCGAGCCGCCGCCTGCAGATATTCGACTGGCTCGCCTTTCCTCAAAAACCGGCACATGTGAAGTTGATTCTATGGCTAATGGGCGATGATCTTCTTTGACAAGACCTTAAAATAAAAATAATAATTTGATGATTGCTTGAATTTTCAACCTTGTCTAACAGCCGCAGAAAAATCATAAACTTTCCCTGTTTGGGTGTCACGTACAGTCCCCTATTTAGAATATTTAAATTTTAATTTTATCCAATTTATTCTACTCACCGCTACATCATCAACAATATTCTCTTGTATAGCATCCAACAATCTCAATTCTGTTCCCTTTACACGATCGACAATTTTTGTACTATAGGGGTTAAGAAGCCCTTTGATAATTAATTCTTTAAGAGTCATTTGCTTTTGAACGTCTGGATGTGTGAAAAGACCAGTTGACGGCTCAAAATGACGTTGATCCACATAACGATTAAGATTATATTCAGTTGGGGAGTGAAAGCCAGAAGCTCCAGAAGCAGCGGTGGGGACTGCTTCCTTCGTTGCAATCTCAGTACGTTTGTGTACTCGAACAGTAGTTTGAAGAGCATCTGCCTAAAAATATGAAGGATGTCTTATTTAGAAATCTGTATCCGAGATTAACTCACAGCATTCTCTGGGACTCCTCCAGTCGGATAAATTCTATGTTGTCTAGCAGCTTCAGTAAATGAATAACGTTTATTATCAGTTTTGTCAAGATAATATCCTTCTCGAATATTGACAATTCCCCATTTTTCGGCTTCAGTCAATGTAAATTCTCTTCCTGTTAATGCATCTCTGGCACGCAAATCATCAGGTGATAAATGGCCAGAACGGATTGCTGAATCCAATGGAATACTTTCTTTAGTATTTAGGTCAATAAACACTCCACGGTTTGAATCAAAGGTCCAAGCATGTTCAGATTCTTCAACAACCTTAGATTAATTATTTTAAAAACTCGAAATAATTAAAATGTTCTACCGGGTGTCCAACAGGTCGAAAAGCTACAGGAGCACCTACAGCGGAAGAAAATTGAATTAGCTTCTTTTTAGCCCCGGTAATTAAAGCTGGTGGTTCTGGCTCGACATGTGCAATTCGTTCATCAATTGCTTGTTGTAGAGAAAGTCGACGACCATGATGTTCAACAAAACCATGTTTGTCAATCACTTTTTGTTTGAAAGCTTCGTCGATTTTAAGACTACGGCCACTTTGCGTATCACGAATTGAGACTGATGACGGGTTAAGAACTCCCAAAAGGCATGCCTCCTCCAAATTGAGAGATTTATCAGTGCCTAAAATGAAATTTCTCTTAACAATTATTTTAATTTTGGTTAACCAGGAGGTCGCACAATTCCAGTATTTAAATCAAGTAGCCCTTTACGTTCGGCCTCCAAAACATGAAAACCATTTTCGGGTACTTCAATAGAATCTTTTCCTCCAGTCACAGCACGATATACACTAACACCTCCAGGTCCTCCAACAGCGCTTGTTTCTGTACGCTTAACGCGATGAACAGTCTGAACTGATTCTTGTAATTCCTTGTCTGGGAAAATTTTTGGAGCCAATTGTTGGCCAGTTTCTGTAACAGTTTCTTGGGTGCGTTCTTCAATGGTTGGACCAACCCCTGATGCTCGAGATGGAACTAAAAATTATAATGAATAAAATTATAAGACAATAATTCTACCAATCCATTCACTATGTGGATCTATTAATCCTTGATGCAAAGCATCATCCAAAGACATTTCGTTCTTGCCCTGTCGGAAGCGCTGTGTTCGTGCATCTACAAGACCCATTCGCATTGCCTCAGCCAACGTTACTTTTACCTAGAATTAAGAACAAGAATTTTCCTAGAATTTTCTCCATCCCCACTTGATCTTCAGGTAATGCTCCGCCAGAAACAGTCCCAGGTCGGTGAATTCTTTTTCGAGTTTGGTGACGTTTTTTCACTGCAGTCATCAACAATGGATGCACATCAAATAAAGCAGCCAATCTCATTGCAGCACGCAATGATCCAAAGATTCCATTGCTATAAGCTTCCCGAACAGAAAGTTCACGTTGTGATCGGTCAATTATAACGCCTTTCTTTGCATCTACTAATCCTTTAGCTACAGCTCGAATAAGTGTTACTTCAACGCCATTTTCAGAAAGACCAGAAGGAGAACTTAAAATGTCAGCTAAAGCAGAATCAAGTATTCCTTCCCGAACAGCATCAGATAAAGAATAATTTTGTCGACGATGCTGGTCAACAACACGTTCAGAAGGCAACTAAATAATAAATAATATTTCAAAATAACTTTCAGTATTTACTTGAAGTATTCCTGCTTCAACCGCTTCATTAAAACTCAAGTTTGCATTATTTTCTGTATTTCGGATTCCTTTTACATCGAAAATAGTATGGCGTATTCGTCGAATTAGTAAGCCTTGTCTTTGTGCGTCATATAAATCAAGTTGTCGGCCATGAGCTCCTGCGCTTTCTGTCGAATCCAATTTTATACGACCATCAGGTGTAAGCAATCCACGTTCCAATGCATCAGCAATCGAAATAACTTCTTGATCTTGTTCGGAAACAATATGTCTAACATCTGGATCAAGCCCTAAATTACAATTTGTTTGATTTTGTAAAAGCTGAGAGGGAAAACAAACATCCAGCATTGATGGCCTCGAGAAGAGTAAAACGATTGCCTCGGTCAAGGAAAAGTCCATTGCTGTCATAATGACCTTTATCCACAACCTTTTAAAATTAACAAATGATAAAATAAATTTAGAAATATATTTAATAAAAAATTTAGTAATATTCAAATATTTTCATTAAAATTCTCACCTCCGTCAATGTCAACGGTTTCTGAAATTTGAAAATAATTAGAATTATAGTGGATGTAATAAGTTTTATATTTATTTACTTATAAAGAAAATAGCCCATAATTAATTAACTTGCCTGTATCAATCCATAATCATGAGCCTCTTTAAGGCTGAGTTCAATTCTACTTTGTAAATCAGTGAATTTCCCTGTCCTTGGATTTAGAGCATTAGCTAGAACTGCCTCAGCAACGGTTACACGTTGATTGAGTGCTGTGTTAACACATTCACGAGTATTATCTCTAATCAAAGGTCGTTGACGGTCTAATGCTTCTCTGAGTGTAAAACGTTCTCCTGTTTATGAAAAATGTCAAAAATGATTTTGCTATATTTTTTACCAGATTTGTCAATAAATTCTCCAGAATGAGAGTCAATAAAACCATCTTCTATACAATCAGTCAAAGTTAGAGCTAATAAGGGTTGTCCACTTGGGAATTGAATATATCCATTTGCAAGAGCATCACGGAAAGTTACAGCTTCTTGCACAAATTTACCTCGGAATTCGCCCGTCTGAGGATTAAGAACACCTTAAAACATTATTTGAATTAATCATTGGATCAGCTTCTACTCCTCACCATTCTTTAATGCCTGTTCTAATTCCATTGGGGGTAATTTTAAAACGCCCATTTTAATAAGACGATGTTGTACATCTGTTGGGCAAATATGCCGAGAATCAAAAAGCGAAAGAAGTTCGCCAGTTTTAATATCACGTAGTTGGCGAGAGTCTGGGTCGTATAAACCGATTTGAATTGCCTCCATCAAAGTTAATTCTTGACCAGTTTCTGGATGTCTAATTCCATGCCTGCCATTAAGTATTTCTGTTATGTTCTCGCTAATATAACCCATCTCAACCTGAATTTCAATTTCAATTTATTTAATAAAGAAAATATGCAAAGTACCGCTTTGTCTAAAGAAACACGTGATCCACTAACAATATCAAAAAATTCACCACCGCTACTTAGATCAAGAAGACCCTGACGAATTGCCTCAACAAATGTAAGTATTTCGCCTGTTTGTTTGTGAAGTATCCCCTCCATTTCGTAAAATTGGGTTTTTGTTACCGTCTCCTTAAATGTAAAGTTTTATTCAGGGCTCTCATTTATACTTTTTTAAAAGTATTCTACTTTTAAATCGACCTCCATGCTTACGAAATTGAATTTATACTTTTTTGAAAGTATCTACTTTTAAATCAACATTTTGTATTGAAAATGAAATTGGGGAAGGGAATGGGCAAAAAAGTGAATTTTTTTGGCCTACGGCCTTCGAAATTCTCAAAATTTTCGCCTGCGGCGCTGAAAAAGGGAGAAATCTAGCTTTTTGAGTCCAAATTTCAGAAAATTTTCGCCTGCGGCGCTGAAAAAGGGAGAAATTTGGCTTCTTGGACTCCAAATTTAAAAAATTTTCACCTGCGGCGCAAAAAATGGAGGTAAATACTGTCAGAGCTTTACTCCTTGTATCAGCGAATTTTGACATGTCACGCATTGAAATGCGCAAAATGCTCAGTGGAAACAAGAAATTATTAGAAAAGATTAATTTAAGAGGGAAATATGAAAAATTTGAGGACGAATAAATATTTTCTAATTTAATTTTGAGTATACTTTTTATTTGCAAATTTTCTCCCTATATACTTTTTAATCGAGATTTTGATACTTTTGAGTTGCATTTTGTCTATGAGAGCCCTGGTTTTATTCCAAAGAGAAACTTTAAGATTCAGAAATTTTACTTCTTGAAACATTTGTGGTTCGTCTTCATGTTCAGCTAATTTAGGTACTTCAGGTATACGTCTAACTTCTTGAAATTCCTCAACTTGCTGCATTGGAACTTGTTCATGTACTTGGGCAGCCTGTGAAAAAAAAAGCATTAAAAATCCAAGCTAGAAAAGAAAAATTGGACAAGACCTAGTTTAAAATAAATTATATGGTTTTTTATCAAAATATTTTCAATATCTACAAAAAAATTTTTAAAGTAAATCCAAAAACGTATAATAAAAATCATCCGAAAAATTAAGGCTAGAAACACCAAAGAAGCAAAAATTAAGAAAAACCTAAATTACGTATATAGAAATTCAAAAATTATAAAATCTAAAACTTCAAAAAATACAAAAAATCGAAAAATTAAAAGTTACAAGAAAAAACTTCACTCAAACGGCAAAAAATAAAGCAAACAAAACAGCAATTCTCTTACCTTAATTTGTCCTTCCCACCTCTTCTGCCTATTACGGCGATCTTCTTCATCTTGCGCAGCTTTTTCTGCTGCTTTTCGTCTTCTATTTTCTTCTTCTTCAGCTTCTTTTTCTCGTCTTCTTCTTCGTTCTGCTTCATCTCTTTCTTCTTGTTCAGCAATTAAACGGCGCCTTTCTGCTTCATCGGCAGCTTTTCTTAATCTTTCCAAATCTTCTCTATGCCTTCGATCTTCTTCTTCTTGCCTTCTTCTTCTTTCATCTTCAAGTTTTCGACGCCTTTCTTCATCATCAGCTAATGCTTCACGTTGGCGCCTGAGTCTATTTTCTTCTTCCGCTGCGCGGCGTGCAGCTTCAGCTGCCGCACGTTCACGTCTAAGTCTATCAGCTTCTTCCAATGCTTTTACTCGTGCTGCTTCAAAGGCGCGTCGTTTCGCCTCTTCTTCTAGACGAATGCGTTCTTCTTCTTCCTAGAAAATCAGCGACTCACAAATAAAATTAGATAAAAAACACACTGCATAATACTTATAAAAAAGGTAAAAGCAATTCAAAGGGATTGCCCATGAAAAAATTTTAAATTAAAAGGAACTACTTATAATACAGAATTATTTAAAAAACTAAGAATTAACAGATCATTTTAAATAATTTGTTTAAAAATATTAACTACTACAGGGAGGTGAATTTTCCATGGAACTGGATATTTTTAAAAACTCCAAAATTAGGCTAAAGATTAATCTAGGATCCAGCAAAATCAAACTTTTTCAGATTTATTATTTACCTTAAATTTTGTTGGGCCATGCCGTCCACCAATTTCATAAATAAACATCAATATAGTTGTTATTGTAACACAAGTTTATCCCTTCTTTCATATAAACGCGAAAAAATGGCGCAAGCAATATTGAACAACAATATAATGCGCGATAACTTTCAATAAACTTAGCCAAGTTTTAAAAATTATAATATGCTAAATAAGGATTATAGCAAAAGGCTAGCATATAAAAATTAATATAAATGAAATAAAAATTAAATTAGGAGAAAGTGACTCTCTTTAGGGACTGAATTTGAAATAATTTTGTAATGGAGAAGACGTATTTTTTAAAAATAAAAATACTCTTAATTAATAACATTTAAAACCCTCAAAGCACCATCACCAATATTTAATAAATTATTAAATCATATTTAACAAAAAAACCCCATATGAAATTTAAAAAAACAGAGGAAGCAAAAAAGCGAAATTTAAAAAAATGTTAATAATATTTAATGTTGAGTTGAGGCCGGCAGGCCCAACAAAAACTTTTGAATAAATTTTAGGTTTATTCATTTTTCGCTCTCAAGTTTAAACCTTCCCTTTAATTATTTAATTGAAGTAAAGAGAAGCAGATCAGGTAAATACCAAAATACCTTTTTAACTCTATTTTTAAGACCTCATAATTAACCATTAATAACAACTCAAATAAAAATAATTTGTCCACCTGTTGTTTTCGACGCCAATTTTGAATTAAAACATTAACAATATTCTTTCTTTCCAATATTACAGAGGAAAGTTGAGCAAATCTTCGGTTTAATGCTTCAAGTTCTTCTGTAACTATTTGAGCTCCATTCTTTGGTTGAGGTATTTGACGTCGAAATTCGTCTTTGATACGTTGACCATGGGCACTAATTATGTTATCGTGATATTGTGCTAGTTTTATATCATAACTCTGAAAAATAAATGAAAGAATTAACATATGGAATTAGCTAAAAGGTTAGGATGTGAGAGAGGACTAATAGAAGCCCTGGGCTTATATTTTCCAATGGGTCTCCTCAGATAGGCTTGAATTAGAGGTGGGTTTCTATTAGAGTATCGGTAATTTTTGACAAATTTTTCGGTGATATTTGGAGTTCTGTTAGTATTTGTTTATTATTAACTAATATAAAATTAAATTTAATAATTTTTACCCTAGCATCACGAATGAATTTTCCTCCTTCTTTATTTATTGCCTCAATTGTTGCTGTATGTTCTTGTAATTGAGCATATTCTGCAGTTAATTGATCCAATTGACCTTGCAATTCTTCTGGACGAAGATCTTCTGGTCTACGAAGGCTATTAATTGTTGCCTCAACTCTATCAAGCCATTGAAGTTCTTCATCATATTGTGATCTATAGACCATTTGCGTTTGTTGAGCTTCTTCAGCAATTCGAAGACGATCGGTAACTTGACTGTTTACATTGTCCCAGCGAACGGTTAAATTAGTAACTAATTCTTCCAATTGATCAACATCAGAGTGACTTTAAAAAAAAAGAAATGAGATTTTTAAATTTAAAATTATTTCTCTCACTGTTGAACTCCGAGACGTGTCCTTGCTACATGTGAACGTATTTGAGCAGTATCTTTATTCAAATTTTCAACAATACTTCTTTGTTGTTGCAAAACCATTAATAATTCTACTAATTGTGCATGGACTCCTCTAAGACGCTCCAAAGCTGCAGGCATATCATCAAAAGAAGAAAGTGTTACTTCATGTCGACGAACAATATCAGAAACTTCATCAACACTCTTTAGTACATTTTCTAGTGCTTTAAGTCGTTCAACATACATTCGGCATAAATCCCAAATTTCTTCCCATCTAGAAATCATTAAATCGTGTTTGGCGCGTTGATTAGGTGTTGGACTTGGAAGTTGTCGAAAAAGTTCTTTTACGTTTGAAACATCAACATCCAAAGCCTTAAACGAGAAAAAAAGTATTTTTAATCTTAAATAATAATTACCTGTAAATTATCTTCGAATATTTTATGTTCTCTAATTTGATGTTCTAATTCTTCCAAATTGCTTGGTATACGAATTTGTGCGCGTTCACTCAGTTGTTTAAAAGCATCCTCAAATTTTCTAATAAGCTCAACAGCAGCTGCATCAAATTCATTTGCATAATTTGGCTCAGGTCCTTTCTGGGCACGTCCCAATAAATCATAAAAATGTTCGTTTGTTAATCTTAATTCATCTTTAAGACGTCGAGCAAGTGGATCATTTGGATCTAATTCAGCAAGAAGTTTATTTACATCTTCATTTAATGCTTTAATGATTTCATCTCGTTGGTCGGGAGGAATTGATAGAAAAGTGTCCAAATCCCAACCACGAACAGTTCGCATTGTTGACAAAACCATATTGTAACGTGTCTGAATTAAAAATTTATAATTATGTGAAACGGAAATTTATTTTGATTTAATCATATAGCCTACAGGAAAGTAGAGAGAATGTGTCCCCTTAAGAAAATAATGCCAAGTCTCCTCATTAAGTTATCAAAACTCATGCCCAAAAGATTAATCAACTTTTCTTACCAAATGATGTTTACGATCCCAAAGTTTTCTTAATCTTTCAAATTGTCCATGGAAACGGCTAAGTAAGTTAGAAAGACGTGGATCAGGTGGAGGAATACGGAAAACAACAGAAGGAATGCTAGCTTCAACACCATCCATTCCTCGAATACGCCAATGTAATAAATCGTGATTATCCAAAAGAGTACATTCGTCCCCTAAATTTAAAAATTATTTAATAAAATAATTATTGAATTGCCTTGTCTAACATGGCTTTCTTTACTTTTGTATTCACAAAGAGAAACAACGGGAATTGGTCTTCCAATTCTTTCACCACGTTGCCATAATGGTGAGATTTGTGAACATCGCTCAGAAAGTGAAAGAAGTCGAGCATGTAATTGTTGAATATGTTCACGGATTGAATCAAGTCTAAAATGAGAGATTGATAAAAAGTAGGGCAAACGACAAAAAGTAAGGTCAGGATATACTTGATAAAAACTATGGGACATCCTTATTATTAATCTCTTAATTCTTACTCTCGTAACATCCTTTCGCCCTCGTCCAAAGAAAAATCTGTTCGGTTGTAACTCTGATCCAAATGATTCTACAAAAAATATAATAAGTTAAGATAACATTCAAAACATTTTATTTCACCAATTGTTGTTGCATTTGTTGTTCAATTTGATCTGATTCTTCCAAAAACGATTTGGCATTGTAAGCATCTCTTAAATGACCTTCAAGGCATTTGCTTAGATTTAATAACCAATCCCATTGATTTTGCATTGTGCGAAGATAAACTTCAATAACTTCTCCCGCCGGATGTCGTTGATTAATAAGAGCAGCTCCTTGATTATGTACATCATTAAATTGTTTTTCGTGTAATTCAATTTCATGGAGTAACTTAACAATTAAAAATTATTTTAAATTTAACAAATTTTTGAAGTACTTGTTTAAAATAATTTTGAAGCATGGGAATATCTAATTGTTGTACTGTAGACCAATTACGAGTAACTTCTAATTCTTCTCTTTCATGAATCCAAACAAGTTCAAGTTGTGCTGCACGAATAAAAGCAATGAGAGAATCCTAAAAAAATTAATAAAAATATTCAAAGAAGGAATATATTTAATCTACCAAATCAACCATTCTTCCAGCAGAAAGTTCCCGTAATTGTTGGTATTCTGATTCAAGAATTTTGAGCAATTCAAAATAGTCATAGGAATCTTCAGCAGAGACTTCAGCCTGATAAAATAATTTTTAATTGAATATTTGATAATTATTATTTACCTGTCTGGCAATACATTCATCAACAGTCTGACGGAAATCCTTAAATAAACGAGAGATTACAATCAGTCAAGCATTTCTATATAAAAAATTGCCTGAATGTCTCTATTGTCAAGTTTCTGTTTTTCAAACATTTGTTCAAGCATTTCTAAAGTTTCGCTGAATTGCATTGTATTTAGCTTGTACTATAAATTTTAAAAATTCAATTAAATACTCAAACTAAGTTTCTTTACCGTTCTATCTCTAATCCATTGAATGGCATCCTCAACACGTCGGAATGCATTTCCTTTATAAGCTAAAGACCCTCCATCAGCAGTTGTTGTTGAAGTTACACGTTCAGTCACGAATTGTGTTTTTGGGCGAATTCCAAGTCTAGTCATTATTCCATCTTCTAATCGTCCCAAATATGCAGCTCTACGTTGTTCTAGACCAACAACTCTGTAAATATATATTTTTTAAAAATATTTTAAATTATATTCTCTCACTGCTTATTTAAATCAGCAGTTTGCGAATGTCGTTGTTGACGGAGAATTTCAACATCACTAAAAAGTTCATCAATTGGAGGTTTCAGAAGGTGCAAATCATCAACAATTTCTCGAACTTGACGTTCCAATATTTCAAAACGTTCACCACGTTCTTCAGCTACATTTACATTATCAATACGTACAAGTAAATGATCAAGTTTTTCATTGGTTATGCCAATTCCACGAGTAAGACGTGAAATAACATCATCATAGCCTCCCTAAAAATAAATAAAAAATTTTTAAAAGAACAAAAAATAAGAGATTGGACATGGGAAAATTTAAAAAATTTGTAATAACAAATGCGCATGAATAAATGGATGAAAGTAAAATATAAAATGAGATGATTGTAAAAGCAAAAAAACAAAAAAGATTGCCACAAAGATAAACTTACGCCCAAAGACAACAAAACCTTTGGCTCGTTGATTAATCTATTATGCAACATTGAAACATAAGTAATTAAAGAACGTTCATCTGGTGTTTCAACGTCACAAACGTCCTCTGGATCAAGCAATTTTGCAATACCATATTCACTTTCAAATGTATCAAAAGCGAATTGTAATCGTTCTCGAGCGGATAATTGGAGAACCTTTAAAAAGTGTATATGAATAATATTAGACAAGATAAGCTTGTTTTTCTCCAAAAATGTTAATTTTTAAGTTAATTTTTCTGAAAGAATTAAAATTTGAAAATTTTAACTCATACAGTGCTGTTCATAATTATAAGCGCACTTGAAAAAATTGAATAACTCGGGGCTTAGTTATCCAAATATTATCAAATTTTGATCTAAAATACTAAAACGTATTAGAAATATGTTGACATTAAAAGATTTTGAAATTATCCATTTAAATTCGAAAAATTCAAAATTTTCAATAAACGCGCTAAATTTACCTGTTCAAAATTATAAGCGCACTTTGGATTTTCGTCTTTCTAACATTAGGAAAAATCTACAAAAATTTCACATAACATATTTGTATATAATAGGAAAAAATAAAACAGAACTAGGCCCATATCTCATTTCAATGTCGAGATCTCGATCAGACGTGGGCGAAACGTTTCGTTTCGTTTCGTTGTTTCGTTAGTTTCGTTATGTTTTTTCCTGTTTCGTCTCGTTTCGTGACGAAACACTTTTTAATTTGTTTCGTTTCGTTTTGTTAACGAAACACCTGTGTTTCGTTGACGAAACATTACCTATTTTTTAAGCCAAAATATTACCCAAGACTAAAAAAATTTCCCCTTTGGCCTTCAAAATACTCAAAATTTTCGCCTGCGGCGCTAAAAAAGGAAGAAATCTGGCTTCTTGGCCTTCAAAATTCTCAATATTTTCGCCTGCGGAGATCAGAAAGGACCCCCCTTGTAAACCTAAACACTGATGACCTATTGACCCTGAAGTCTTACAAACGTTTGATCAACACAATTTTTTGCTTTTATCTCTTTACAAGTTTAATCAGTCTATCTGTGGGATTAACAGAGCTAATGAGGGGGTACAGAGTTGACCCCCTTATTAATATCTTTAGAGCCCGTACTGGAAGTATCCGCAGATTAATCTTTTTGCATATTTTGAAGGGAAGGACCTTGGCTTAATAATCCAAAAGTTTTGTCGTCAATTACTCATTCGGTAATGCGACAATTTCGACCAATCCCGATCACGTGTCGGGATCGGTATCACCATTCCAAAATCCAGATCCCGGTTTTTCTATAAATCCCGATACCGCTAAACTCTAGATTTAGGTGAGATTAAGAGAAAAATTGGCTAATGGGACCACAATTTATGGTCCACATAATTTTATGATCACTTATATGTCATTATTGGCCAATTAACATGCTTAAAATTTTGTAGTTAATAAAATAATCCAGATTTTTGAGATTTTTTTCGAAATTAAAATGTTTCGTTTTGTTTCGTTTCGTTAAATTTTGACTGTTTCGTTTCGTTTTGTTAACGAAACGATTTTTAAAAATTTTTGTTTCGTTTCGTTTCGTCCGAAAAAAATTTGGAGTTTCGCCCAGGTCTGATCTCGATACCCTGAAAATAGGGGTAAAATAGGGGTAAGACTCTTTTAAAAATATTTTCGACCCCATATGGATTATTTTGAATTTCCTATTCAGGCTTATTTGATAGCCCTTGAAATTTGCTATAAGATAGCCTTAAATCTTATTTACCAGAAAAAATTCATTTGAGAGATATATTACATTAATCTTCCGAAGCGACCGTAAAGGGCATTTTATGGGGCATTTAGGTGTTTTCTGGAGACATAAAAATTTAACTCTTAATAACCAATCGAAAAATTTTTTCTGCTAAATAAGATTAAGGCTATCTTGTAGCAAATTTCAAGGGCTATCAAATAAGCCTAAATAGGAATTTCAAAATAATCCATAAGGGGTCGAAAATATTTTTTAAAGAGTCTTACCCCTATTTTACCCCTATTTTCAGGGTATCGAGATCTCGACATTGAAATGAGATATGGGCCTAGTTCTGTTTTATTTTTTCCTATTATATACAAATATGTTATGTGAAATTTTTGTAGATTTTTCCTAATGTTAGAAAGACGAAAATCCAAAGTGCGCTTATAATTTTGAACAGGTAAATTTAGCGCGTTTATTGAAAATTTTGAATTTTTCGAATTTAAATGGATAATTTCAAAATCTTTTAATGTCAACATATTTCTAATATGTACGTTTTAGTATTTTAGATCAAAATTTGATAATATTTGGATAACTAAGCCCCGAGTTATTCAATTTTTTCAAGTGCGCTTATAATTATGAACAGCACTGTATAAAATATTTTTTGTAAATTCCAAAAAATACCTTTTCCCAGTTGACCAACTCCGGACGATAATAATGCAAAATAGCATCAAAAGCAAAACCATTCCTCCAATTGCTTGAAAAATTCTGTACATCCACTTCAGGATGATAAGTGGAAATTACACGTCGAGCCCAAGCCAAAAGTGCATCTCGTGCTGATGTTGTTGTACGTGCTTCTGATGAGAAAGATGGTTCTGGTGAAGATGTTTCTCGTTCTTGATGTAAAGCAGAAGAATCAGCAATCTATTTACATAATATTTTTAAAAATATTAAATTAGTTTTATTTTAGAAAAGAGATTGGAAATTCAGAATTCAAAAAATCAAGAGAACAAAATATTACTGTTTATCCTCTCGTTACTCAAAAATCCGATCTCTTATCCTTTAATATATTTTCACATAGAGATAAATAGAGATAAAGAATAAAGAATATTAATAAAGATCAAAACAATTAATAACATAAAAAAATTAGCTGCGCATTTGCTATTTACACAAAAATGACATCAAAATTAGTCCCCAGAAAAATAATAATTTCATTTATTTACACGTTCAATAGCAAGTCCACTTCCACTGCCCCATTGATCAAGGCGTGCTCGAGAACCAAGTGTACCTGCAGCCGCCTTCTGTCCTCCTTTCTGAACTTTTCTCTCAAAATGTTCTTTAGTCTCCCAACTCGAATTTTCAGAAAACCCATGTGCCCCCGTTGCTGCATCATAAAAATTTCGACGTTCAGTTACAGCCCCTCGAGGCAAAGATCCATTTTCAGCTCCAAAACGACCACTATAACCATTTCGGTAATCACCGCCACGACTTCGACTTCTCTCGTGAAATTCTTCAGTTCGGCGTAATTGTTGTTGAGAGCCTATTATTGTAAAAATACTCAATAAAGCTCTTTAATGCTTTAAATGCTCCCTTATTCCTTACCCGAATGATGTATACCACCATTAGTTTTATGTTGTTCCCGACTTGCAGAATAATATCCATTAGTGGCTGCTGGTGGGGATAATCCTCTACCACCGGCACCATTCAAATGTGATCCCTCTGACCGCGAACGACTGTAATGTTCATTGGCTTCTCCTGCACCAGAACCGTGCTGTTCGTGTTTATGTTTTTTCGTGTATTTTTGAAGAACTTTATACATACTGCAGAATTTTTATAATAATGGAATTTCAATTAATTTTGATGCGCGAGTTGTAGTTTATGTATGTATGCTAATAGAATTAAATTGGATTTTTAAAAAAAGCTAAAAATGAATCACTCAAGATAATGTCGTTGTGGGGAAGGGGTATGAATGAAAAGGATAAAACTTTAGAACGGAACTTTTTTGATGCGCGAATTGAAGTCTTTTGTTATCTCAAAAAACTATAAGATAACAAAAAACAATTTACATAACACTTTTTTATAATCAAGGCAGAAAAAAATTATTTTAAAACTAATAAATTCCTCAACTTACTTAAAGTTGTGAAAAAAACAATAAAAATAATAAAAAAAATTCTTCGTAAATTTACTCGTCTCTGGGCAAAAATACCGGCTATTTAAAAATAATATGGGTGGTATGAAAAATGCAGTAAAGTAAAACGCCTAACGCACACAATCAAAACAAAATTGTTATTTGATTGCAGAAAGAGAAGTTTTGATGGGTCAATTTTGGGGGAAAGTAGGCGGTTGATGCGTAAGACAAATTTGGGGTGGCGGATGGAATTGGAGGGGGGGGGGGGGGAAGGGGGGGTGGGTGGTTGGTTAGTTCTTTCCATGACCGGCAGCTGGTTAAAATAAATATATACGCGCGGTTGAGCGATTACCTTTAATAGAAAATAAGTATAAATGTAACGAGAACTAATATGTATAAATACTACTAGAGAAGGGATAGAATCATTGGTATTTTAAAAAAAACCTTTATAAATTTTTAAAATTTTAAAAATTTTGGAATGAGGGGGAAATTTATAAAATTAAATTGAAAGTGAAAGAAAAAATCTTTAAACCAAAAAAACAAATAGAATAAAAATGTCATATTAAATTAATAAAAATCTTGATAGAAAAGAGGAAATGATTCATAAAAATAAACTGGTATTAATAAAGGCGGTTAAGATAACAATATTTCAATTAAATATTGTTCAGACAAACAATAGAGAAGGATTTTTGTAATTTATGTATATACATATATGTAAAATTTCGTATGTAAAATAAAAGTTTAAATTGGAAAAAAATGGATTAGCATCATTATGAACATTAAGATTAGGATAATAATTATTATTATCATTAGATCATCTATAATCAATAGGATCAGGAAATGGAGAATATTGGTTCGATTATCAAAATATTAACAATACTCGACAAAGATTAGGGCTGATAGAAATTCAGAATGACTGTTATTTATTATCCCAGGTATCAGATAAATTTAGCAAATATTTGTAGAAATAAAATTTTAAACTAATAAAATTTTATTGCCAACTTTTTGCCTTTTAAAGATTGACTAATTTGCGTGGAATTTTTGAAAGATATTTTTAATAGTTGTAATAAATTGTATGTATAGGAATTTCAGTCAGTTCATTATTTCTTAAATTGGCCGTTTATTTTTTTCAAATAATGAAATGTGCGTTACAAATTCTTCCAAAATTTATTTTCAAATAAAAAAAACAAAATTACGCCGCAAAATAGCGGCAACAAACAAAAATATTTTTAATTTGTGTGTTTATATTTAATGAAGGAAATTCCTCGCAATTATTTATAGATGGATGATTTGGTGGTAAAAGACGTAAATTTTCGCTTTCAATAAGTTAAAAATAATTGATTATTTTGTTATTTTTTTATAAATATTTATGGTTCCTGGGGGAGGGATTACAACAATGCACTTAAATATTAAGTGGGTTTTTGTAAAGTTTGGAATTTTAAAGGAATTTTAATTGAAAATAATGAGTAAGAAAAGAAAGTTTAAAAAATTTTAAGTATTGCGATAAATAAGGAACCTAACTTTAAAATTCCTTTTTTAAAATTAGTAAACAATTCAAGAATCTCGTAATCATCTCATGTACATAAAAGAAATAAAACATAAAAATATTAAAAAGACAATAATTCGGGTGCACTAGAATCAACTAACAATAAGCCGTTTAATTAGACGGCTTAATTGATCACGGAGAAGTAAAATAGAGGTAAATATTATTTTAAGTATTCAAAGGTAAAAATCTGTGATTTTTCTTTAGTCATTTTTATAAAAGAATCCAAAAATTTAAATATAGCCTTATAAAATTTTATCACTTGGGAGAGAGCCAAAAGTAAATATTGTAATTTAAGTCAAAAATGTTTTCCCTTTAAAAAAAATTTAATAAATATTTTCAATTAAAAATAAAAAATTTTTTTTGCCTGCATTTTGTTAAAAGAGGCATAGAAAATTGTAAAAACTAAAAAAAGACAGAGGAATGTATGTAGAATGGCCTGTTGATCAATCGCGCAAAGTTAAATGTGTTGTGCTAGTCGTTTTCGCGCACACCTTCAGGGACGTGTCCTTCAATTTTTGCCTTTCCATTCTTCTCACCACCAAAGTCGCTATGGGCCGCCATTAATTTATTTATTTATATAAGAATGGTTTTTAGTGGAAGGATAGGTCGGAAGATGTTTTGGGAAGAAGAAAATATTGGAAGTTGCAAATATTTAAAAAAGACAAAAATAAAAACATTCAGACAAAAAAAATGAAAAAAAATTAATTTTTGGATAGAAAATAGTTAAACTGGTTCTTAAGTTATATATTAATAATTAAGATTAAAAAAATTAATTTTGAATAAAAAGACAAATAAATAAAATAAAAAAATATAAATTTCCAAAGTTATAGAACTCCTAAAATTCTGGATCTAATTACTGATTGAAGTCAAAGGTAAGTAAGGATAGTAACAAAGCTCTTGGGGTATTTCCTAAGAAAACTATAACAGATTAAGCTTTTCTCAAAATTTGAGTATCGGTTTCTGATCTAAAAACTTGAATTATTTTTTCAGTAATTCTGGAAAATAGAAAAAAATTTTAAAATTAAAAAATAAATTTGTAATTTTATTTTAATCAAAAATAGTTTTTCGTCCTTCCTTCCTTTAATATACATAGAAATACAACTAAAAATATACCAACAAGCTTTGCATTGAGGAAGGTGAATAAAAAATAAAAATACGGGGGTGGGAGATCGATCAAATGGATAGCCCAAACATGGGTGAATGTGTGTTTATTTTGCTATAAAATAAATGAAAATGAAAGAAAAGATTTGAAAGAAAAACACAAAAATTAAATGTTTGGAGTGAAAAATGTTTGTTTAAAATATTTTTTGATTAAATTTTAAATTTTGTAAATTGTATATATTTAATTTTAAGAGATTTGTAGGGTTTTTAATACTATTAATTTAATTTAAAAAAATTGTACAAATGTTAAAAAATAAATAAAAGAAAAATAAAAGGTTGAAATGATGATTTAACCAAAGTTAAAATTAATTAGAAATATTTTCTAAAACTATTATTTGTTTAAAAAACATTTTTGGTATTTTTTAATTAAAATTTAGAAATAAAAAAGAAATAATGCGCAGCTATTAAACAAAATAATATTTGGATTTAAAAATAATTAAGAATAAATAGAATAAATTTACTGAAGAAAAGTGATTAAATATGAGAGATTTATTTTTATTTTAAAAATATTATTTTAAATTAAATAACCTACCAATCTAGAAGTTGTTTGACTGTAATGAACACCTTCATCTTGTTGTGAATTAATAATTTTATTATTTGGAGAGGTTGTAGCTGATATATGAACAGTAATATCTTGTCGACGTTGTGCCTTTTGTTGATAATTAATTACTGCAGAAACTTGGAAGTTTAGAATTATTGTCTGGAAAATTAATTGATAAAAATTAAAATTAATTTTTATTTATAATAGCTTATTGAAGGGGGTTCGAAATTAAATCGAAAACCCTTAAAATTTCCCCAAACCGACCCTTTTTATTTGATCGAAATAATTTTTTAAAAATAGTTTAATTGTGTTAAAACATCCACAAAAATATATTTACCCAAATAAGTCCAAGTGTTAACTTTCCATTTCCATCAACAATATCCTCAGGCCTAATATTAACCAATCTTATCTGAAATAGAGTAGAATAAATAAAAATATTCTAAATAATTTATAGGCACATTTCGACGTCTCAAAAATTCCAAGCAAGACTGGACATTTTGAATTCGATGAAAGCGAGTCCTTCCATTTTCTCTTGACTGAAAAATATTTTTTTAATTTTTGCTAAAAATTAATTTCTACCAAATTTTCGGCAGATAATAATTCAAGTAAATCAATTAAATTCCTTCCATCCCTCAAATCAAAGAATAAATCTTCAACCACTTTATTTGTCTAAAAATAGAAATAGATATTTTAAATATTCTCTAAATATAAGTATTACTTTTGATAAATGTTGATTTACCCATTTTGTAAAAGTTTTCTTTTGTATGGCATCTCGTTCATCTGTTTGGGGATTAATTTAAAATAAAATTTAAAAATTAATTTTATGTTTAAAAATGGCGGAAATGAAATTTTAAAAAATTTTCTTGAACTTTAAAGTAGGAGAGACTTTCTCCCCAAACCTTAACCTTTAAGGGATACGGAAGATCGAAGGAGTTTGGAGTTACTGTATTTACTGAAATAATTACCCGGGGTAATTATTGTTTCGATCTCTCGCTGTAGTGGGTAATTAATAGGGAGTGGGTAATTATTTGAGTAAATACGGTAAGTAACGACTAAAATTCCTTTTGAGCGTGAAGGGGAAAATACCAAAAAACCCCCCAAAAAACACCTTTATATCTTTCCAAATTAATTTCATAATGTTCTAAACATTCGCTTTCAATAGCTTCTGCATATGTCGAATGTAAAACATTTTTTTGCATTTGATGATTAGAAGAAGATTCTACAGTATTTTTATTACAACTATCATCAGAAGAAGGTGTGGATTTAAAAGAATTTGTTTTAATAGAAGAAGAGATGTCACAAATTGGAATCACCGGAGATTTATTATTTATCTAATTATAATTATTTAGGCTTGTTAAGAATTTGGGGTTTTATTAACGGATTGTAACTGGACAAGGAAATATTTTTTCAAAAAATTATGGGATCCGAAATCCAAAATCAGGCTCAGTTTCCCCCAAAATCAAAATTTAATATTTAAAATGTCAATAATAAAAAATTTTAAGGTAAAATTTATGTTTATGCAGTTAATTATATTTCCCAGTCAGATGACATCAAAAACATGTTTTAATATTACAATTAAAGAAATTAAATATAACCAATTTTTAACGATTGCCATTTGTTATTTTTAGATAATTTATTTAAAAAAAAGGGAAAAAAATAAAAATTCTGATATAAAATAAACAACTACCGAGGAGCTTTCATTATTTAATGTTGGGGGTGAAAAACAGTAATGGAATGTTGATGATCGTGAAACATTTGAAAAGCCGACCGGACTAGTTTGCAGCTGTTTAGTAGAATTATCGCTTTTTAAATGATGAAAATTTGGAATCGACATAAATGGAAGGAAGACATAAAAATAAAAAGAGAAAATTAAAAAAAGCCGACAAATCTAATAAAAATGTAAAATTTTTTTGATTAGAAAATGTTGTAAAATGTAAAGAGAAAAGGAGAGAGAGAAAATAAAATTGCCAGCTCTAAACTTTTGGAATACTTTTTTGCAACAGTTATATAAAATGCTCAAATCGATGGTTAATATTTTGTATTTAAATATGTAAAGAGGTGTAATATGTCGTCAATTGAAATGCTCCTCTACGCGTATCTTCTTTAAATTCTCTCTCAAAACTCTTTTCGATTGCGAAAGTAGATTAGTAAATGTAGGTGTTTTGGTATATAATTAAATTTAAAGAAATTAAATTCGAGAGAGATGTGCGCAGAATTGAAAAAAATAAATAAAAATGGGGGTAATTTTAAAAGAAATTAAAAATTAAGCAAGTTTTAAATATTTAAATTAGTAAATGAACGATAAAAATTAATGATTTTTTGAGGTTGATAAAAAATGAAATAATTTTTAAAATTTATTTTTTATTTAATAAGAAAGGGAAACATAATTTTATGTCCAATAATTTTGGCTATTAAATCAATAATTTAATCAAAATAACTGAATGTGAGTCAGTTTATTTTTAGTTAGTTATTTTTGTTTATCGAGAAAGATTGGTTTTTTTTTAATTTTTAATGTGTCCTTATGTTACAAAATAAAATAATAAAATTTATTGAAAATTAAAAGAAAGTTAAATATACAAAGATAAAAAAGGTAGTTTAGAATAAGTAAAACTTTCGGAAAGTGAGTCAAATTTTTAGACTAAATTAAGCAGAAGAGGAAATTTTAATGTTCTCTGATAAAAAAAATACAAATATGTAGATACATATACGGTTATTATATAAATTATTTCTTTCTGTTCACATTTTACTTAGATATTAAAAAAAATTCTTTCTAATATTGAAGGATAAAAAGCTTAAATGTTTGTGTTTTTAATAAAAAAGAGAAAGTAATTATCAAAAATGTAGTAAAATAAAAATGAGAAACGAGAGAGTGACAAAAAATTGCAAGAGTGCAGATTTAGCAGGGATTTATAAAAAAAGTAATGGATAAGTAAGAAAAATTATTAGCTAAATATTTTTTTAGATTTTTATGTTATTTTTAGATTATTGTAAAAAATGATCAAAATATAGTCTTATGATAATAGAGGAACTTGTTTAGAAATGAAGGTAAATTATTTTAAGGAAAGGATATGAAATTAAGGATATAATACAAATTAAGGATAAAAACACCTTAAAATATCTTTAAAAATTTCCCTAAAAATATACAAAATTAAAAAAATTAAAAAACATAATTTAGGACAAAAAAAAGAATTTTTTTATTAAAAAATATCAATATAAACAGATCGAAAACCAAATGACCGCAGTAGGAAATAAACGCTCGCTTGGCTGTGTGCTCCCCCCTTAAAATTTACCTCGTTTGCTTTTTATTAATTTTTGCATTACATATCGATATTTATTTATTTATTTTTTCTACTCTTATACATTTCTTTTACCCCCCCCCTTCAGCGCACCTTTCCGGGAATTTTATTTCAACAAAATTTCATTACCCAAAAAATTTTACGCATAATAAATATTTTAGAAATGAGATAAAATTTAGATTTTTTAAATAAAAAAATTAAATTTAAAAGTACAGTAGTCGACATAAAGATAGGGACAAGAGTAATTTAAATATAAATTAACTATTTTTCGGTCAAAAAATACGTTCTATATATCAATCGAAAGCTCTATTTATATCTCAGTTGACATGTTTCTGCATTTTTCATGAAATTGAAAATTGGCCGAGATAATCCGGATCTGCCGGATATACCAAATCCCACAGCCTCGGAAAAAATTTTCGGAAAAAATCTAACAAACCCATTTGATAAAGCATACTTTTCTGAGTATTTTCCACAAAACCGCTTAAAAATATCTTTTTCCAGTCCAGAGATATGATTTTTTGAAAATGGCATTTTTCCCTTAAAAATTGAATTTTTTGCAAAAATAGACGAAAAATGCCATTTTCAAAAAATCATATCTCTGGACCGGAAATAGATATTTTTAAGCGGTTTTGTGATACATGCTCACAAAAATATGCTTTATCAAATGGGTTTATTAGATTTTTTCCGAAAATTTTTTCCGAGGCTGTGGGATTTGGTATATCCGGCAGATCCGGATTATCTCGGCCAATTTTCAATTTCATGAAAAATGCAGAAACATGTCAACTGAGATATAAATAGGGCTTTCGATTGATATATAGAACGTATTTTTCGACCGAAAAATAGTTAATTTATATTTAAATTACTCTTGTCCCTATCTTTATGTCGACGACTGTAAATGTAAATTGTCGTATGGTGGTTGGATTTAACACTCTTCCTAATTTTTTGTTTCTCTCGTTACCTAGTTAAAAATTGTAAAAAAGGTGTGTGCAATGTGGAATTTTTTTTTGTTTGACAACACCTGCAGTATTTGTTCTTTTGTACTTTTCTACATAAATATTGACCCAAACAATGTTTTTCTTTAATTAAACCCAAAAGATCAAATTTTATAAAGAAAAGAAGCTCTCCTACTTTAAAAAAGATAACTTTTGTATTCTAAAAAGTAAAACCAAATCCGCCATTTTTTATAAATAATTTCCCCACCTGTTATTTTGAGTCGAATTCTTTCATGTTTTTCATATTTTCTAATTGAAATAGGCTGAGTCAGCATCCACTTCTATAATTTTAATAAGGAATGAGAAAATTTATTTTTATTTCACGCTTATTAGTGAACTCTTAGGTTCTCAAACTAATCTATATAAGCTTCTTTTGGCCGAGAGTTAAATCTATTTGGGATATTAAACATAATTTCTGACTTGTACCATTTAATAGCAAATAAATTAGAATACACGTAACCGTGGCTGGTTTGTGGATTTCAGTTTTTAAGTTAGTGTTAGTTTTTATGGGAAAAATTCATGGTCACGATTAAAATATCTCAGATAAATTTTTTAAATCTAATTTAATAACAGGAGTAAATATTATTATTTTTTCGATTAATTCCCCTGAGGAATTATTTTTTCAACCCTTCCTTGGCATGGTGAATTAATCGGGAGAGGGGAATTATTCGAGTTTTGACATTTGAAAGTGCAATAGGGTATTTGGGGGTGGGGAATTGTTGTTTCAACCCAACTAGCATGGGGAGGGGAATTAATCGAGAGGGGGAATTATTCGAGGGAGGGGAATTAATCGAGAAAATACGGTACATATAAATAAATTAGACTTTCCTGCCCCTAATTAAAATATAAATTACCCCACCTCTAAAGCCAAATTTCGTTCTTCTTTACTTTTATCATTATAATTTTGGTGTTTTTGTTGTTGACTATTATTACTAGAATATTCAGAATTTTCTTTTTGTTGTTGACATTCTTTACTTGCAGTTATAGGGCAAATTAATGTTGTTGTAGATGTTGTGATAATTTTAGTTAAACTAACACTGTTTTTAATTGTTTTTGTATTTAATAAATATTTATTTTTATTTTCTTCAAAATTATTTAAATATTTTTCTGTTATATTAATGGGCACTTGACGAATAATTTGTTGAGAATTTGTAGAAATTCGAGGAGTTGCTCCAAGTGAATGATCACGACGGGAATGTCTTGTTGTGTTTATGACATTTATTTCTTCTGTGTCGATTAGACTAGAAGAGAAAAGAAAGAAATTTATTTTTTTGTTAATCATATAATTTTTGGAAAGTTTTTTTTGTACTAGAAAAATAATAAATTAAAAAATTGTCTTCTTAAATTTTATTTTTCTTTTATTTTAAAACTCCCATAAGCTATAAAATGCTAATTAAGACTAATAAAATCTCAATATGCATAATTTTAAGAAAATTTGGAAAAATATGAGTGGGTAACAAGAGTTCAGCTTTCCAAGTATTTCCAAATAACTCGAAAGTTTGTTGAATTTAATGTTTTAAATTAAGAAATAGGACTTGATTTTGTTATTAAACGGGGTACCAAATAGAGATAAATAACGTTAAATATGCCACGAAAAGGACAGAGGTATTTATGATAAACTCCTTCATTTATTTTATTTTCCTGAACAATTTTTATTCTCCTACCGAGAAATATTTTGTTGACTTTTAGATGTGCAACGAGTTTTTGAGGGTAATCTTGCTTTTTGTGTTTGTGCCTCACTTTTGCTTGTTTTGTATAATTTATTTGGAACAAATGGACTAAAAATAATATTTTAGTTTTTAAATTTGTTTTATAAAATTTGCCTTGCTCCTCTACTACTAAGAAAAATTCTTTGATGAAGAAGGGAAGAAAACGAAGAATTAAGCCCTCCTCTATTAATTTTTGTTGAATTCATTTCTGAGGATCTTTAAATAATTAATTTAAAATTTTTGATAATTAACGGAAAAATAAACTTTTCTTTTATAGAATTTCCATTTATAAATAATTCTGGAGTTTTTCTTTGTTGTTTTTGATTATCTACAAAACGTGTAGATAATCTACTTTGATGTAAAGTATCACAAGATGCTGACTAAAAAATAATATTTATTTTTATTTATTTAATTAAATTATGACCCTTTTTGTTTTTTTATCCCCAGATACTATTCCAACATAATTTTCTTCGTTTTCTCGTTTTGCTTCCTTTTTTGGTTTTCGGCCTGATCTCCTAAATAAATTTGTTAATGGATTGTTTAACCATATGGAAGTCTGTGGTTGTTGTTGTTGTTTACTGGCCATTTTTATGAAATTTTTAGTAAAAAATTGGGAAAAGAGAATTAGAGGGTTAAATTACATCTAAAAATTTTACAAAAATATTTGGAAATAAATTATTTTCCTATGGAGACAGGGAAGAAATTTGTAGGGAAAAGTGGTGGTGATCCATAATCAGTTCCCTTTTCTAGAATGCTCCTCTCACAAGTATTATCTTTCAAATGATGTATTGTGAATTAGGATTATTTTTGGATAAGCTAAGGTTTCCTTAAAGATCAAGATTGCAAAATATTATCAATGCATCAGAGCAAAACTTTTTTTAGTGTAAAATCTTTATATCGATAAAACACTAAATTGTTTTTTATCCAAAAATATATACTTTGTGAGGTCTTGACTTTAAAAAATGAAGGAAAAGGTCAGTGAATCACTAGTAGATTATTGCTAGCTTTTGTCCAGTCGATCGAGGCAAAAATAGAGATAGAAAAGTAGATAGAGGATATAGGGATAGAGTGTCTTTTTTTCTTATTTTTTAGCTAACTAATGGCGCAGCAATGAGTGAAGAAAAACAAAAGTTGAGGCAAAAAGATTTATTAAATAAATTTTTAAGTAAAAAATATTTTTAAAAATCTTATAAGAGAAGTACTACTTTTAATTGTTAATAAAATTAATTTTAAAAATTAATTTGAAAGTTTTATTTTCAAAAATTTTTATAGCTAATAAGGGTTTGAATAGGGAAAAGCATTGATTTATTGACCCAGCCAACACTTAATAATATTGATTTAAAGCATTGAGTAAAATAAAAGAATCGATTACACAAACTCAGACAATTTTAAAATTATTTTTTTAAATTTGTGGAGATAATAAATATTTATATTAAGTCTTTTAATGAGTGCTTGAAATAAAATTTACCTACTTTAATTATTCATTAATAAGTATAATCTGTTTCTGTTTTTAGTTATCGTATCTTAATTCCGTTCGAGAAAATAGTAAATTAATTGTTTAAATTTAAAATGTTATCATTTAAATAGAGCATTTTAAAATACAAAAGAAAATCTATTTATTTTCAAATTTAATTAATAATATATACAAAAATAAAAATTTATTTTGTTTTAAGCCCATAAATATTTCTTTAAATTGTAGCACAAAAATACTGTTTATAAATAATATATGGCAATAATTTTAATATAATTTGAGATATTTGGAACTTAAAAAGAATTTTGGTCATCGGTAATATCAAAGAAAGTTTGAGCTAAAATTTAACAAAAATTACTTTTAAATAAACAAATTATATCTAACCATAATTAATACAAGGCAAAGCTTCGAGATAAGAATAACAATTACCATCATCCCCAATATAAGAACGAGAATGCCAATAACAATAATTATTAAAATATGGAATTAATTGTTGTTGTTGATGTTGATCATTTAAAATATTATTTAAATTATTATTTAAATTATTTTCATTATCAGAAAAAATAAATAATTGTTGTTGATTTTCTTGGAATAATGGAGTAAATTGAGTATTTATTGCTTAAATAAAATTTTTTATTTAAAACGTTTAGAGTAACCCGAATTCTTATAACTCCTAGAGACTACCGAAATTTTTGTAGAAATTTTTACTTTAACTTAATTGTCTGTTTGTACATATAATATATTCAATTTAATATTAAAATTAAATACAAACATTGAGAATAATCTTCAATATAATTTAAATTATTATTTAATTCTGAGTAATTATTTAATAAATTATTTTCTTCTATAATTATTTCCTTTGGTATTTGAAGTAATTGTTGTTGTTGGTGTTGTTGTTCTGAAACAGGCGAAAATAAAACTAAATCATAATTTGAATTAAACAAAGTCGCAGAAAATTCGTTTTGTTGTTCTGTATTTAAATCGTTATTATTTGAATTAATAAATTTGTTGGAGGAACAAAAACTTTCATTATAAACCTTTAATAAAATAAAATTTTTTTTTAATTTGAATAATTTAATTTAGGGTAGCACCCGAGCCTTCGAGGGCGGAAGTGTCGGATTTTGGGGTTTGCCGTGCTTGCCAAAAAATAGTTGGGGTTTCGCGGGCCGGATTGGAGTTTTGCCTGCACGGAGGTGGGCGTCGGGGATCGAATTTTATCGGGGTAGAGCCTTCTGGGTCCGGGTCGAGGTTTTTGCCTAAGAATTCGTCGGGGGCCGGGGTTTCGGAGGACGGGGTGCTACCCTACTTTAATTTATTGTTATTATGTTCGATTTTATTACTTATTTATACAATTTAATAATTTAAAATTAATATTTTATTATTTTACTAATTCCAGAAAAAAAATAAATTTTCTAAAAAAAGTTAAGTAGCACTTGAATTCACATAACATTTAACGTGTTATTTGATACTTATTCAAATAACAATAATAATAACTAAAAAATAATAGGATATATATTTTCGAGAAATAAAAGAGAAGGGGGGGGGGAGGAATAAAAGTCTCTTCTTCTTCTCTTCATTTCCATTCATTTATTTATTTGAATCTTTTCAATATATAAATCCTTGCTAATGTTTTTGGCCAAATCTTCTGGTGATTGAATGCGAGAATTGTTGCACAACAAATTGAAAAGTATAGGAAGAAGAGAATATTTTAAGGACATAAAGTGTTTAGATATTTAAATATAAAAATTGAAAATATTAGGGTAAGTAAGAATATCGTATATATTCACCCTCCCTCAAATAATTACCCCTCCCCCTTCTCTCTATTAATTACCCCCTACAGAGTGAGGTTGAAACAATAATTACTCTTTTAAAAAGTTATAATTAGCCTTCCTAAAATAATCGTTATTAATTAACTCTATTAATTAAAGATAGAGAGGTGAAGTAAGGTAATTAAAAGAGTATATACGGAATGTGAGACAGATAAAAAATGGAGTTTTCTTAAGTTAATTATGAAAATGTTTGTAGCCAGCTCTAAATAGTGGTGAATTTGGAGCTATAAAGTGAAACAATAAATTGACTAGTCTAAGCAAATAATTTTAGTAAATTTAAATTAAATATAATCATTTAAATAATATCAAAAAAAATTTCATTTTTCTCTCAAACTTAATTTTATTAAACTTCTTTTTTTAAAATAAAAAGTTGCGAAAATAAATAAGTAATAAATCTAAAAACACAATAAATTTAATTCAATTCTTTCCAAAATGTTTGTTGTAATATTTAGCGGCAATCTGTTTTTTAATTAAAAAGTCCATCAAAAAATTGGGGGAAAAATAATTTATTTAGACAATTTATTTAAAAATTGGCTAGACTGGAAAATAAAAACTTTTTAAATAAATAAATATTTTTACATCCTTATTTTAATTAGAAATAAGCGGGTTAATCAAAAGAAAGAAAAAATATTTTAATCGAGTAATTTGAGAAGTAAAGGAGTGAAAAATAAAGTTTGCGGCAGATTTTGGTAAAAACAAAAAATTTGTTTAATGAATTTGGCAATTTAAGAAGAGAAAATCAACAAAATTTTTAATTTTAAAATTTAATTTATTTTAATTTTTATATTAAAATATTTTTATTTTTCACTTTTATTTTTAGCTATACCCCACAAAATAAATTAAAATAATTTTTAATTGAAATACCTCATCAACAGAATTATTATTGTTAATTAGATTAACATTTTGTTGTTGATCTTGTAATTCTTTATTTAATTCAATTTGTTTATTAAAAGATTCTGATTTGATTTTTGTTGTTTTTTGTTTAAAAGAGGAAATTAAATTTTTTTGTTTTTCTTCAATAAAAGATTTAAACTTTGGACTACATGTCCATAAATGTCCTTTAAATTATTAATTTTACATAAAATATTTTTAGAGTAGATACCTTTTCCAACTTTTCCATGAGAATTTTTAGGTAATTTGCTAAAATATCCACCGAAAGATAAATTATGACGAATAGAATTTTGCCAGCCAATATATTTACCTCGAAAAAATTCATCTCTTTGACGTAAATATTCGTACTTAAATTTTTTATAAGAATAAAAATATATGTAGATATTAAGGTTGGGGGCCGGATCCAGCCCGGTCCGAAAGATTGAGTCGAGCATTGAATTTTGGCCCGAGAAAGACTCGGTCGGGCCGGCCCGAAAAAATGAAACCCCAACCCTAGTAGATACCTATATGTTAATATTTTTTAGAGTCAGCTTTTCACAGTCAACCTAGTTTTTTGAGAGCTTAATATAAAAATATTTACTTAACCCTCATAATTTTATTCACAAAATTTAAATAAAGAGAAATTAATTAAATATGTATTACTATATGTATTTAAAATAATGGAATTTAAAAAGAATTTAAAACTAACAATTTCCTCCAAAGTTGAACGTTTAGAATCCTGTAAATAATAGAAAATATTATTTTAAAATATAATTAAAATTATTTACCTTTTTTTCAATAGCCTCCCCAATTAATTCAATATAAGTATCTTTAGGTTTTTCTCCTCTAAATTCGCTATTTCGTTTAGATCCACGTCTACCTCTATTTGTTTTTTTCTTTGATTCCATTTTTGATGAATTTATTAATTGACTAGGGTTTTCATTAAAATCTAAAATTCGATGAGATTGTTTAAAAATTTAGTTTTTTTTGGGATTTTCTTTAATTATTGAATAAAAGTAAAGCATAATAATTGATAATTTTTGATTTTTTCAAAATAAACTCCTCTCATCCGACAAATATAATTTTTTAAATTTAAATTAAAAATTCAATGAAAAACTTAAAAATTCATATTTCATCTGAAATTTCTAATTATTGTTTTTATTAACAATGAAAGACTGTCAAGAAATGATTATATTTAAGGATCTACTTATCCAAGTATATTTATATAAAATCAAAATTAAAAAATAAATTAAAAACCCTCAGTTTTTGAAATATTAATTGAATTATCTTCCATTATTGTTGTTGTGCTTGGTTGGTGTACTGTCTCTGGTAATTCAGAATATTTAAAAGGGGTTTCCTCAGAAATAAACAAATTTTGGTATTTATTAGGAATAAAAGTTTTTCCTTCATAATCTTCGAGAAAAGCAAATTCTTTGACATTTTCTTCATTATGAAAATATTTTGTGGAATTCTGTTGATTATCTTCTTTCTTAATTAAAGGTAAATAAAGTTTTTCTTGAATATTTTCTTCAATTTTAATATCCATTATTATTTTTCAAATTTTATAACTGATTTGGTTTGATAATAAAAAGCTGGAGAAAAATTGGGAGGAAATTGAGAGAAAGATTAAATTTTTGAGAATGGGCGGAATGAATAACTCTTGCCTTTTCTCCCCTTGATATACGGTATAACAAAACTTTTGTTTTCCTCCATCAACAATTTATTTTGGAAAAATGGCCAGAAAATGAAGAAACAAAGCCTAATACTAAACGAGACTAATCGCTTCTTTTTCTCGCTTTTAGTTTTTGGAAAAGGAAAGGGTATTTAGTTTTGCCAGACACTTGAGAGTGGTTTTTGTATGTATATATTATTGTTTTAGACATAATCCTCCAAAATTCCATTTATAAGTATTATAAATATGAATTTATATTTCCAAAATCCTATATTAAATTGATATAATTTTAGATAAAAAATGAAAATTTTAATTTTAAAGCTGATTTGGGAGATTCTTACTATTTCGATCATTAATAAATTTAATTCCTTTAGAGCAAAATTACATGTTAATAAATCATAACTCTACCTAATTTTTTCTGGTTTTCTAGCTTCTGATCGTCCAATTAATCTGAAATTTCTAAGGGAAATTTCTAAACATTATTGGGCATTATATCCACAAAATCTTAAAAAAATTTCACGCAATATATATAACTCCATCTGAATTGAATTTAATTGAATTTTAATTTTTGCAAAAATTTTCGTGAATATATCCATAAATACAGAGTTTGAAAACTAAAGCATCTAAACACCTCTTAAAAATCAACAGAAAATGGGTTAAAATATTTTAAAAAATATTTTCACCAACTTTTAGTATACACAAAAATTATAACAAAAAGTTGCTTCAAGATACCCTTTATCTCATTTAACAAAAAAATTCTATTTAGAAAACTTTTTAAAACTTTAAATTTGATAAAAAGAGTTAAAAGCAATTTAAAGAAGAGGAAGAAAGATTACAATTTGTAAATTAGAAAAATTTTAAAAATAGAATTAGAAAAGTTTTTTTGTAAAAATCAACTACTACATATCATGTTTCAAAAACATTTAATTTTCTTCAACCAATTTCTCAGCTACTAAACAATCATTCATTTTATAATATTCATCATAATTAAATAAAAACAACAATTGTTGCTTTTCTTTAATTAATTCTTCAAATTTATTTTTACAAACTTTTTTAATTTCTCTCAATTTTAAATTATTTAACAAATTATTTTTTGTTTCTTTTATTTTCTCCAAAATATTCCATTCACTGTTTAATTCAAAAAAATAATTTCCATTATGAATTAAAGGGGCTAATGTTGATTTAAAGCAAATAGCTTTTTTAAAATTTATTTCCTCTTCATAAGAAAGTCTCTCTGTAATAAATAGTTCTTCTTCATTAAAATTTTTCTGAGTTTTTGAGGCATAAATTTCAACTCCATATTTAAATAAATTTAATATTTTAATTTCTTCTGTCGTCAAATTTTTAAATATTTTTGAAATACATTTTTCATTTTTATTTTCCATTACTTCAACAAAAAATATAAAATATTTATTATTATATAAAGATTTTAATTTAATTAAATAATTTCCTTCCTCTTTAAATTTTATACAAATTTTAATAGAATTTTCTTTTTCATTATTTAAAAACATTTTTATTTTAGTTAATTTTGTTTTTTCCATATCATCATTTCCCATTTCTTTTTTTGGTTCAAAATATACAGAATGACGAAATAAAGGTTCAATTGCCAACACTTGCTAAAGAAATATTAATTACCGTATATATATGCTCGAATAATTACCCTGGGTAATTATTGTTTCGATCGCTGGAGGGTGTAATTAATCGAGAGGATGGGCTGAATTTGGGGTATATCTCAATAAATCGGAGAGGAAATCCAGACAATGATTTTTTCAATTTTTTTAAAATTAAAGAAGGAAATGGAGGGAGTACTTATTTTACGGTAAATAAAATAAACCTTCCAAAACTTTTACAAATTTAAATAAAATTGTAAAAAGTTAAAAATAAACTTTTTACAATTTGTAAAAGCATTTAAATTAAATATAAAATATTTTTTTAAAACAGGCATATTTTTATAAAAACAAACAAACAATTCCATCATTTAGCAAATTTTTTTCAGGTTTATTAATACAAATTAAAATTCCCCTTCTGTAATTATTGGTTAAATCTTGAATAAATTGAAATTTAATTATTTCATCGCCATTATTTATTCTGTCTTCCAAGGAATAAATTTTTGTATTTTCATTTTTGTCGCAAAATTCATTTTCTGGGGTTATATAAATTTGTTTGTATTTATTTAGTATTATTGAATTAAATTCAATTGAAATTTTTAACAATTTTTGACCATTATTTTCGTTAATATAAATATTTTTTAAATTAAAATATTTACTATTTCTTATGATAATAAAGTTTTGATTATTTAATGGTTGAATTGTTGAAAAAGAAAAATTGAAAATTAATAAAAAAATAAATTGAATAATCATTTATTTTTGTTAAATATTATTTAATTAAAAAATTTTAAATTATTTTTTCTAAATAAAATTTATTATATGAAAGATTTTAAATGTAAAAAATGTTTTTAAATGTACTTGGATACAAAAATGTATACAGCCAAATATTGACGTGATAGTATTTCATAAAAATATTTAAGAAATAATGCACTTTATCAATTGATCTTTTCTTACTTAAAAGGGAATAGGGCAAGTTTTTTAATTAATAAAATTATTTCATAATTTATTTTTTAAATTAGTTAAAAGTGCTTGTATTTCTTGTTTAGCTGTTTTAAAAATTGTTGTAATTAATTAAATTAAGCTTCGTTCTGATGGCAGAAATTCTAGAAAATATTTTATGATGAACTACTTATATTTTAATTTAATTATCTCTTAAAATTAATAAAAATTCTTCAACTCTAAAATAAGAAAAATATAAAATAATTGAATAGAAAATATTAAAAATAAATATAATTTTTATTTTAAATTTATTCGAATATCCCAGTATTTTGTTAATAAATTAGTAGTAGAAATTGTCTTATTATTATTTTGTATTTCTCGTTTAGTTGTGTTAGTTTTTGTTGGTTTAGTTGTATAGGTCTTAAAACTGAAAACTAGAAATAGTTGTAAATTAATAAAGTAAACTAGTAATTTAAAATTATTTTTCATTTTATGTTAAATTAATGATTGTTAAATGAAGGCTTGGGAAAATATATATGTATTTGATGAATATTTGTACTAAATAAAATTAAATAAATTTATTTTATAATCAGAAATTTGTAATTAAAATCTCTAAATTAATTAAGTTAAGAATGTTGAAATGGAATTAATGTTTTAATGTAAGAGAGATAATAAGGTTTAGAAATGTTGATATGGATTATATGTTAATGTATCTGATACAGTGCTAATGTATCTCTCTTCTTAAGTTGTCGATTTCCATAGAAGCACCTGCTGTTTAGAATTGAACCAAAACTTTTTTTTGTTAATATCCTGAAAAAGTCCTCCCCACTAGAGAACATCTGAAACATAACTGAAAGTTACTCTCCGAACTGCGAAAGCATTAGGAAGACATACTGTTGGAAGAGCAAACTGGCCAGATTTCTAAACTCAGTTAGTACAGCCACAAACCTCCTATTTTTTATATTTTGGGGATTTCTTTAGAAAACTATTTTTTGCATTTCCAAAAAGTATATTTAAAAAGCTAACTATAAAATCTCAAAAACCATTTAAAAAAATATAAACTTAAATAAAAGTCCATTTATTTAAAAAAATTCCAGATTAAATATAAAGTAATTATTTTTAATTTATTTTGATACTACAATCTCTTGTACATAAAAAATATAAAATAATAATAATAAAAATCAGAAGAATATGTATTATATAAAAAAATATTTTAACGAAGAAAAGCACCAAAATCCAACAAAAATACAATTAAAAACCAGTTTTTAGAAATAGGCATTTTAAATAAAATTGACAAAAAAAGGGGTATATAATAAATGGGTATTTTGTCATAATTATGAAAATTTAAAAAATATTTTTTATTTTCTTTTAAATCCTAAAAAAATTTCTCTCTCAATTCCTTTCCAAAAGAATTATTTATTTTGAAGCCATTTAAACAACAGGAATCCAATGGCTGGCATTTGGTGGTAAATAGAGAAGAGTTTGACGAGGGACATGCCGCTGCTGTTTAGAAGTTGTTGTTGGTTGTTTAGGAGAAGTTGTTGGTGGCCTGTTTGTTGGGGGTTTCTAGAAAAAAATAAATGTTTTGGAATATTTAAAAACAAACTCCCTTACCAAAATAGTCACAACGGGAATTGAATTGTTTTGTTGTTCAGTAGAAACATTTTTTGCTGTTGAGATTTCTTTTTCCTTTTCTTCTCCTCCTTCCGCTTCTTTATTTTCTTCATTATTAACAGTATCAACAATCTCAACATTAAATTCAGGCACTACTGTTTGTTCATCTTTTTCTAAATTTAATTCTTTATTATCTACTTGTTGTTGTTCAATTTCAATAGAAGAAGAGGCAATTGTTGATATTGGAGAAACGCAGAATATTTGGGAATTTCTGAAAATTTTAATTAATTAATCCCATTCTTCCCTCCTCCCTTACCTATTATTATGTCTATTATTTTGCCAGTGCCTATTATTATTGAAATGATGATGTTTTCGATGACGATAATTGCCAATAGCATTATTTCCGTAATAAATAACATTTGAACCATTAACGCCTTCAAATTGTTGATAATAGAGCATTAAATTAAAAGAAAGTTGTTGGCGAAGACGATCAACCTTTAAAATTAAAATTTAAAAATTATTGAGGAAATTTGGGGGGATTTTTTTATTGAAGATGGGAGGTTAAGGAGGAAATTCAAATTTTTATTTAGAGAAGTAATAATAATTTAAAAAATTTATGTGTCCCTTTTAATTAAAAATTTATCCTACCATAGATAAAGTTTGTCGTCGTTCATGTTGCATTAAACAAACAGTTGAATCTCGAATAACGCAAAATAATTTGTGGAGATAATCGAATTTTAACTAAAATAATTAATTTTATTTTTAATTAATTAAAGGAAATGACGTGTTTTAAAAAAAATTGTTGTTCCTTAGTTTAGTGCCATAAAAATATATTGACGTAAAACTACTAAAACAATACACCCCCTCCTTTCCTTTTCTTAAACATGCCTTAAAGGCAATTTTCTGCAAGAATTGTTTTTATGTTAATTTACTGAAAATATACATACACTATTTATTTATTTAATGGAGGAAAATGGAGAGGAAAATATTTATTAAAAAAAGGATTTTTTTGGAAAAAGGAAAAGTGCAAACGGAAATAGAAAAAATTTCAATTTTAAACAATTAAAATAAAAGAAAAACTTACATCATCTTCATTGCCAAAATGATTCTGTAAATAATTGAGCAGCTTCATTTCCTGCACATTAATATCAGGGAAGTCAATAAAGAAACGAGAACACATGTACTAAAAAATTTTAAATAACTAAATATAATTATTTACTAGATTAATTGGTACAACTTATAATTACGGTTGGTCTCCAAAAGGGGGAGAGGGCCACGGGCAAAGGTTTCGTGGAGACAGCGCCACGAGGGGGGGGGGATAAGAACCAACCCTACTTATAACTTCACAGATAAACACGATTAAAAGGAAGGGAACTTTGGTGGGGTAAAATAAATTGTGTGGATTTTTGTATTATAATAATACTGAAGATTAATAATATTGAAGCAATGAATGATTAATTATTTAATCAACTTTCCCACCTTTTCCATATCTCTACAATTCGAAGTAGCAGAAAATCCTCTAGTTAATAAATGGCAATATTTCAACAATCCACCTCCTCTAATTTCTTCAGGATTTCGAGTATCAATAAGTCGTTTATTTAGATGGAATAAAGCTTGCATAAAATCTCCATACATCGATTCTGCCCGAATAATTGGTCTATTCTCGTTTGGATTCTCAATTAAAGGGTCCAAAGTTATTTGGAAACTATCAACAGAAAATTCAAAAGCACGGCGCATTCTTTCAACAAATTTAAGTTCAATACATCTTTAAAAATAAAAATATTTTTTTAATTTTTCCAGTCTCTAAATTACCTTCCATAATCATTATGTAAAGAAAACAATGACCAACGATCACTATCTGTTACTTTAACCATTTTTCTAATATAAACATCTCTTAAAGTTTCCGGTGTTATTGCAGATTTATTTGTTGTACTTGACGGCATCATTTGAAGTAAAGCATCAAAAACTGCTTCTCGAACCCTTTCAAAATCAGAATCACGCTCCAAAGCAATTGGAAAGATTAAATCGACATCAGAATAGGGAAAAGAATCTGATTGGGCAAAAACAAAAGAAGCAGCCCCTCCATTTAATTTAACGTGTAAGAGAGGTAACCCAGCATCTCGAAGCTTTCTAAAAAGGGTAATATTTAAAAAATTTTTAAAAGAAAATTTATTTTGCCTCGAAATTATTCCAATAAGTGCATGAAGTGGAATTTCCAATGTTGGGAAGTTTTCACGCCCATGTATTTCCACAACTTGGTCAAGAACAGAACGAAGTCGATCAACCTATTTTTGAATTAAAAAATTTTTAAATAATTGGAATTTTTAAGGTTAAAGTTGGATATGAGGAAGAAACTCTCTCCCATCATGCCCCTTTACTTTATATGTTAAATAGACTGGGCAATAAATTAGAGGAAGATCCTTCTACATAATTTTCCAAAGATAATTTTAAGAAAATATTTAATTAAATTACCTGTCTAGAATTTAACGAAACAACGGCAGTTGGTTGACGAGGAGGATTATTATTATTGTTGTTATTATTATTATAATTTCCCCTTCCATTACTATTGCTGTTATTACTTCCCTCACGATGATGCCGATGAAAATTATGATGTCCTCCAAAAGTTGCAGAACGTCCCCCCTCTCTCCCAAAACGTAAAGGAATATTTTTATTTTGTTTGTTTGGGTTGTTCTGATTTTTATTATTACACAAACATTGCATTTGTGCAGCCGAACAACATTCTTGTTGTTGTTTGTTTGTGTTTAAACAAACATTATTTCCTTCATTCATATTTGTTTTGTTTGTTGTTGAAGTATTTGAAGATGGCATATTTAGGTAATTATGTATTTGTTTTTTTAATTTAAAGAAAATAAAAATATTTTTTATTAAATTATTTGATGATATGTTTTTTAATTGTTTTCTTTTTTTGTTTTTGGTTTTTAAAATAATCTTAAAAATAAAAATTAAATTATAAATTAATTAAATAAACAAAAATAAATCAAAAATCAGTCTGTTTATCAGAAATAGACATAGACTAGACTATAATAAATAAAATAAACGTGGCGCCATTCCTCTTTAAGATATGAAAGGCGCCGAGAGGGAAAAAGACATAGTTGTTGTAGTTTTGAAGTTTCGATATGGGCTAATGTTTAAGGAATTTAAGGACTAATAAGCTTAATAAAAATTAGAATTTATGAAGTAGAATGAATTAATATATTCCATTCAGATATGAAATTTTTGAGATAAATTTTAAAATTAAAAAATAATTTAATAGAAAAATATAACATTTAAAAGTGATTCAAAATTATTTTTAATTTGGATGCTTACTAAAATAAAGTATTAAAACAAAAGTATAATGAATCATGGAATTTTTTTAATTCTAGATTTTTAAAAAAATTATATAATATTTATAAATTAAATTTATATATAGTAAATATACATAATATAAATTAAAAGATAAATTTTTGGAAAATAAAAAATGTTTATTAGAGTTTATATTTAAATTGTAAAAGAATTAAAGTCTTTAAATTTTATAGTAAACATAAAAATAATTGAGACATTGAAAAGACCTTTTAAAAAAATATATTAAATCTTGTAAAAAAATTTTAATTAAATTTTATTTATATTTTTATTTTTTTACAAGAAATAGGAAATAAAATAAAATAAAATAAAAGAATGAGGAATCTGGAAGTAAATGCATGAATGGGTAAATGAGGAAGGGAATGGGAAAGAAATGGGGGAAAGGTAGGTGGGAGGGAAGGATGGGGATATATGGATGAAGAAGAGACAAGGAAATGGATATATATTTGTAGATGTGGAAATTTTTTTAGACAAAAGAAAAAGGAAGGAAAATTTTAAAAATTAATTTTTAAAATTAAAAATTAATTTTTTTCGATTATGTAGAATAGCAAAAAATAAATTATTTTAAAACAACACTTTTTAATCCCAAAAATAAAAATATATTTCTACAAAAGGTTTATAAAAAACAAAAAAAATATTTTTTTGTTTCTTCCTCTAATTTAAACAAAAAGAAAGTCTTAAAAAGCTGCTTGTAAGTCCAATGGTTGCGCTGTTGAGTAAAAAAGAGAAAGAAGAAAATAAATGAGTGGTTGAAATGACGTGTGCCGCGTGCTTATTCTCCATTTACCTCCTTCCTTTCCCTTTCCTCTTCCCTTCCTTTCATTCCTTCTCTAGAACATTCTAGTATTTTTTACCGCCCCTTTCCGTTTTTAAGCCGATGCATGGAAACGTCAACAACTCTAAAACAAAATGACGAATGGATATATATATATTTATTTATTTAGATTTATTTTTTGACATCAGTTTTTCTAAAATTAAATATAATTAATTAAAGTAATAAACAAAAAAATACAAAAAAAATATTTAAATAAATCTCTTAAATTATTTAAAATTACCCCCTTATTGCCCTGAAAAAATTTAGCCAAATAAGACTTTAATATTTTAAAAAATAAAAGAGGTATTTTCAAAAAATTTTAGAAAATATTTATTAAAAATATTAAAAAAATATTTTAAAATGCGCAACAGCCAAAGAGTAAATAAATAAAGGGGAAAAAGGAGGAAAAAGTGTTTGGCGGCTACGTCTTTTATTACTTGAAAAATAAATGAAAATTAAAAAAATGGAAGGGCCAGACAAATATTGTGGAAATGCCGGAAATGAAGGCGAAACAAAAATTTGTGTTAGTAAAATTAGCAGCAGCCACGGCAACGACAAATAAATAAATTGGGGGAAGAGAATTAAACAAAAAATAAAGGATTTTCTTTAAAAAATATTGTTAAAAAGTTTATGACATTTGCAATTTTTTTTAGTTTCGAAAGAATTTTAATTAAATCAGACTTTTTATTAAAAAAATAAAATATTTTAATTTAATTAATAACCAGAATAATAATTGTAATAAATCTGATCTTTAAAAATTTAAAAATCAAAAGCAAATCCCGATAATAAAAAAAGAAAGTTTTTGAAAAATAATTTTTTGAATTAAAATTTAGAAAAAATATTTTTTAAATATTATTAAAAGTTTTTATGAATAATAAAAATATTTTGAAGAATGCATAATTTAAATTTTAAAAATAGTGATGCTATTAAATAAAAATAAAAATTTAAAAATAATTTTATTTAAAAACTTTTTATTAAAATTTATTTTTGGATGTTTTTAAATTAAAAATAAGTCAAAAAAAGATTAAAGAAAAACGTCATAAACAAAAGGGAGCTCTCTCCTCCCCCCATATGTTCTTTCCCCCCCCCTTCCTTTTCCCAATTTTCTATTATTATTTTTTGAGTATATTCCAATTTTGGTATATTTTTGTTTGAAAAAGGAGGGAAAAAATAAATATTCTGAGAAAAAAAAGATAAAAAAATTAAGAGAAAATTTTTTGAGTGGGTGTTAAATGGGAGAATGAGGGAGTGAGGGAGGAAAGGAGGGAAAAAATGGGTAAGTTTGAGGGAAAGTAACAAACAAAAGGAAAAATAAATGACGTATTTATTTGTGCCAATAAAATGGCAAAAGTAGAAACAAAAAAAATTAATTTTTGTTATTTATGCAAAAGCTTTTTTTGTTTAGAAATTTTGTTTTTAAAAATAAAAGGTCAGAAAATGTTTTTTGTTTTTGTTTTCCTTAAAATGTCAATCCTTTACATAAAAGAGCACGAAAATATTTAATATACTAGAAAAATTTTGTGAATAAAAAAAGAAAGAAAATAAAATTAAAGGTGAATTTAGTTGATAAAAATAAAAATATTTTTAGTAAAATAATTCTTTACAAATATAGCTACTTAGTTCAGTAAATCTAAACATAAGAAATGCCGGATTTTTAATTTGAAGAAAATACCTAATTAAATAACTAGAAAATTAAAAAGTTAATAAAATTTATTAAAAGAAAATTGTAATTTAAATAAATAAAAATAAATTTTTAATTACATATTTTTACTCGTCATCTTTAAATTAAAAATATTTTTTATTGAAGGCAAGCATTGTTAATTTTGTTAAAAAATAATTTAAATAAAAGGAACATCCAAAAAATTCTTTAAAAATATTTTTAAATAAATGAATGAGGAAAGAGGTAAATTAAATTTATTTTATCCAAAAAAGTATCAATTTCGTCAATCCAAAAATTAAAACTTTTTTCTTTTGTTTGTCTAATAATTAAAAAAAGAGAAGGAAGTAAATTTAATTTAAATTATATGTATATTTAATTTTTTAATTGATTTTATTTTTAGGATTAAAACAAAAAAAGAATAAATAGATAAAATATATAATTTAAATTTAAAAAAATAAAGAAATTATTTTTAGATTAAGTTCAGGTTTATTTATTTGTAACCCCCCAAATAAATAAATTATTTTCTTCTCTTATAAATAATATCTAACAATTAAATAGCCAATAATTTATTTTTATTTTTTATATCTACATACACACATTTATGTTAATTTTAAACTATTTCCGGTGAAAAATAAAAAAAACAAATTAAAATACGTAAATCTACTAGTTAATTAAAAAACAAAATGAACGCAAATAATTATGCAAAACACAAAAAAATATTTTTTTAATAATTAAAGTATTTTAAATAAATAAAATAGTTCCCAGAGGAATAAATAAAAAATTAAATATTAAAATTCTTCCCATCAAAAAGATAAATAGTGTCAGAATATCAGGCATAAAGCCTGTTGCTGTAGATATAAATAATAATTTAAGGGGTATTTTTAAATGATAAGAAAATATTTTTAAGCAATTTCTCCATAAATTTATGATTTTTTGGTAGCCAATTTTAGAGTTCAAATATAAAATTCGGAATTTTTGAAAACTAGAGTCGGAAAGGAGAAAAAAGTCGGAAATTAATCACCCAAGCAGAAGTCAAAAATCCTTGCAAGTCTTTAACAGTGGAGAAGGATTTAAAAAAATATTCAATTTACACTTAGATATTAATTAATATAGTTTGATTATTCTCTTTTAAGAGAGCTATTTTATTGAGGGAAAACTTCCTCAATAAAAGAATTTTTGTCTGTTTAAAAAAACGTGGGGAGAATTCTCTTTTGAATTAAACGTGAATAAAATAAGAATAAAAAGAGGGGATTTAATTAAATATATTAATTTATATATATAAAAGGGCCACACATTAAATATTTAAAAAAAGTTTTTTTGAGGAAGTCAATACTAAAAAGAATATTTTAAATATAGTTTGTTTAACTGTAAATAAAAAAAGAATTTTAAATAATTTTTTCTCTCTTATTCATTATTTATTCCTGCATTAAACGTTGAAATGCTTAAAATTGCCGCACGTCAATTAATTTGTCTGATAGTCAAATTATTTTAGAAAAAAAGAAAGGAAGAGGACTTTTGAGAGTGGAGTTTTTTTTTGGAAAAATTATTTTAGAATATCAAAAAGATGAATAAATAATTGAAAAAGAGGAAGATTTTTTTGAGAATTTTTGTATATTTTAGATTTAAAATAGAAGAGAGAGGGGGCATGAAGTTTTTTTCAAAAGTTTAGTTCAAAATGGTCGAAATATTAAAAAAATTAAATTAAAATACATATATAGAATTTTATAAAAAAATTTTGTTTGTCAAATATCCCTCTAAAAATTTAAAAGTTTTGTAAGGGTGTTGAAAGGAGATATAAATTTGATAGCATAATATTCTTATTAGAAAATAATTTAGCTTCTTGATAAATAATTTTTTAAATAAAAGTGTTCAAAAAATCCCTTTATATATAAATAATCGAGGCAAAGAATATCCGTGTTCACCCGATTTAAAAGAGCCGCCCAAGAGGCGTCAACTAAAAAAAGTAAAAATTATTATCAAAATTATTTGAGATAT